AGCTCTTCGACACTCTCCTTTCCCCACTGGGGCAGTTCCTGGCCCAAGTAGGGTTCGTTCTCTCTCTCCTCACTGGCCAAGTCCCACTCCACAGTCTGTGGCCCTGGCAGCTCTGTCCCCCCTACTGCCCCCTGCCCCTGCTCCCTGAGGGCTTCCAGCCACCCAGGCCTGGGGCTGGGGGGGCAGCTGGGGCTGTGTGGGGCAGGGCCATGGCTCTGTGCCCTGGCTGCGGGGGAAGGAGGCGACTGCCCTGGCACATCAGGGGCCACAGGGCCCTGTCCTCCAGGCAGCTGCTCTCCATCTCCTCTCCCTCCCGGGCTGGCTGTGTCCAGCTGCAGGTCTGGGATGAGGGGTGTTCTTCAGGGCTCTGCCTTGGCCCCGGGGCTCTTGCATGGCTTCCCCAATGACACAGACTTGGCCACAGACTGCAGCTGTTTCAGTTTCTGAATTTCAGATCTCTACTGCTTTCCTGGGCCCAAATGGCTCCCACAATGGACCAGGCAGAGGCAAGCATGGCTGGAAAAGCATCTTTTAATGTGTCCACACTGAAGCCACCCTGTGTTGCTCCCTCTGGATGCTGCACAGGCTCTGGGCCAGCCTGTTTTACACTCTTCTCTGAAGGAACTCTGTTCCTGTTTTACCCAAGTGTGGCATTCACATTCTCTGAACATGATTCCTTCGCCCAGGGTTTTTCTCCTGGGAAGCTGAAAGGCAGCAAGAGACCTCAGAGAAAATGGAAACAATTCTTATCTCATTTGCTTCTCCTGTATTGTGCTCATGTGGAATGTGTTTGGAGATTGTTTACCCAAGATGATTTCTTAATTGGACTCTGCTGTGAGTTGTTTTGACTCAATGGCCAATCAGGGCCAAGCTGTGTGGGGACTCTGGAAAGAGTCATATGTTTTCATTATTATCTTTTTAGCATTGAGTATCTTTTCTGTATTCTTTAGTATTGTATAATATTCTTTAATATAATATAGTGATATTATATTAATATAATAAAATGATAAATTAACCTTGTGATAAGATAGAGTCCTCCTCATCATTCCTTCCTTCATTGGTGGCCCTGCATTTACAATACCTGAGGATTTACGGTTTAACTTTACTAGTGACACTGGTAGGGATAGATCAGTTTTCTTTGTCTGAATAATTACTTCTGCATTCCTGAAAATTATGTGCCTGCAAAAGGAAACAATTCTTATCTCATTTGCTTCTCCTGTATTGTGCTCATGTGGAATGTGTTTGGAGATTGTTTACCCAAGATGATTTCTTAATTGGACTCTGCTGTGAGTTGTTTTGACTCAATGGCCAATCAGGGCCAAGCTGTGTGGGGACTCTGGAAAGAGTCATAAGTTTTCATTATTATCTTTTTAGCATTGAGTAAGTATCTTTTCTGTATTCTTTAGTATTGTATAGTACTCTTTAATATAATATAGTATAACAAAGTAATAAATTAACCTTGTGATAAGAGAGAGTCCTCCTCATCCTTTCTTCCTTCATCAGTGACCCTGCATTTACAATACCTGAGGATTTATGGTTTAACTTTACTAGTGACGCCAATCAGGGCCAAGCTGTGTGGGGACTCTGGAAAGAGTCATAAGTTTTCATTATTATCTTTTTAGCATTGAGTATCTTTTCTGTATTCTTTAGTATTGTATAATATTCTTTAATATAATATAGTGATATTATATTAATATAATAAAATGATAAATTAACCTTGTGATAAGATAGAGTCCTCCTCATCATTCCTTCCTTCATTGGTGGCCCTGCATTTACAATACCTGAGGATTTACGGTTTAACTTTACTAGTGACACTGGTAGGGATAGATCAGTTTTCTTTGTCTGAATAATTACTTCTGCATTCCTGAAAATTATGTGCCTGCAAAACACTGTGATTAATTTTAACTGAGCAGGTGTAGGGCCTGCCACTACCTGAGGTGGGGCTGCAGCACCCTGCGCAGGATTTGTCTGTACATGAATTCTTTCAGATGTGCTGCTGGTAACAAGCAGGCCAAGAGCTTTCCAAGTGTCCATCACCCACCTATCCTGGCACATCTTGCCACATCATCACTTCAGTTATCAATTTGCATCACCAAGCAGTGACAGGGTGTGATCTACTAATTTCTCCTGAGCAACCTTTCAGGTGCTGCTATCTCTCACCCAGTTCCAAAGGTATGAAGTTCAAGGTGTATGAACAGCTATGTCCTGTGCCAAGCCTACACCAGAAGTGTCTGAGTCTTCTTCAGTTTGGGCTCTTTATACTATCAAATAAAAGGAAGAGACAGATAGCAGGTGCACACCAGCAAGAACAACTTCCTTTGTGCTTTCAAGTGGCCCCCCAGATGTTACCCTCTCCAACCTCCCAAATCCATAGATACCCAAAATACAATGTCCACAAAAAATATGGTTTATTGACTAGATTAAATGATGTAATGCTTAGACATTGTATTTGTATTAACAATGCTCTTGCAGAGGAACATAAAATGATACTTTTTTCCCTGTCTCTAATGAAATCTCAGAGCAGGTAATTCATGGCAAAGGGCACTGGATACTCTCCAAGTCACACAGCTTTGACAAACCTACTATGAGAGATCTTGCATATCCAATAATTGAAATACAATTTCAACTTTTTGCCTTGCTGAATTAATTCTGTGCTTTTGAGTTCTCTTGAAGCTATGAAGAATTATAAACTACTACAGCTTGACAAAGTTGATCAGATTTGTAACAAAAATACAAAGACAATCATTAAAAACCACATTGAAAGTACTTTGAAAGTGAGGCCACATTATTTTTTACTCAGAGCATAGCTGGCAGCTAGGGAGCTGGAAGAACACTGAAAAAAACCCATGAAGTGACATCAAACAGGTCAGATGAGTTTTCCTTTCTCTTTTCTTACCAATACATCTCTCCTCAGAGTACCATTGTGTCTATTCAGTGGATATTGCCAGTTACATTTATTTTTTCTATTTTTTTTTTGTCTTCAATGTTTATTGGTATTGTCACTCTCCAAATAATTTGGGTATTGTATTCAAAGGTAACCTTTATTTTTTCTTTTTTTTTTTGTCTTCAATGTTTATTGGTATTGTCACTCCCAAATAATTTGGGTAATGTATTCAAATGTAATGCAACAATGCTGAATAAACTGCATTGACAGAGGTCAGGTGTTGTTTGTAAAGTTGTCCTGAATGAAATTCCAGACTCCACTGAAAACAATACCCACCTCACAGGTATATTTACAAAACACTGCACCACTTTCATGGCACAGATGGATTATGGATGCATTGCAACAAGCAATCACATCACTAAAATTTTAGATAAAAACCTGACTTCCATTTCTGCCCTCTCCATTTAACACTGTGGGCAACAAAACACTTGGACAAACAACAGGTTCAGTGGATCTACAATCAACAGAGAAAGACCCAGACAATCAATACATTTCCATAACATGTTATATGTATTCAAACCAAACCCCAGTGTGTCTGGATCCTGGATTTTTCTGTGCACACCAGATCCACTGAGTGACTGTTTGAATCTCTATCCTTGGAGGAATTTGGCATCTCCAACCTGAGGCATTCACAACCATGCACATACCAATGGTTTTATGCATATTCCACAGGAGACTTTTCACCCACAGGACAAAGTAACAGTACAACATATTGACCAGGCTGTTACACCCTACTAACCATCATCTTGTCAATAAAATTCATTATGCTAATATACAATGAGTTTTTTAAAACATAAATGAACTATACTTGCATAAATGAATATCATTCATTTATCAAAGTATTCTCCAGAGTTCTTTATTGATCACAGGAAGAGCTACAGTCCAGACCAATACCAAAACCAAATGAAATTCAATCCTTCACTATAAATGGGAAAAGTCAAGAGCAAAATTAATTTCTGGGAGTACCACAAACCATGAACTGCCACAAACTTAGTGAGAGAACTGGGACGGATTAGAATGGAGCAGCTGAGACCAACCAGCCATCTGGAAGTATCTCAGTATTTGAAGCAATTGTAGATGAGGTACAAAAGAACAGTTTCAATACCGTTGCTTATGAGGAGTAATCTGGCAGAGGACGGGTAACAAACAGCACTGAAGTATGCAAATATGTCAGAAAATGTACTTCTGCTGGCTGAAGTAGCTAAATAAACCTGTATCAGTTTATTTAACTGATAATCCAGTTATCCTAAGAGAAGGTAATGAAGCAGGTTCACCCTGTCTCTAACAGGATCACAGGAATAACGGTGTGAAGCTTCATGAATAATTTAGCTATGACACCAGGCTGTGCTTCCAAGCTGAGCTCTAATGTAGAGATCTGCAGCAAAGCCTCATTCACATAAGGAACATTTCCAAAGAAAGATTTCAAATCTTCCAATTTTATAAAAAAATGTTTTATTTTAATTTACTCTTCCCTTCCTCCCTGTTCCCATTCAGATTACATAAATGATCTCTTGCAGCAATGCACCTCAATCTTTACCAAAGAAGCAAATTAATAAAATATCCAAATAAAAACAGAGTAGTAATAAAATATCCAAATAAAAACTGAACTCCAAGAAATGCCAAGTGGACATCTGCTTCTACATCAAAACCAAAACCAAGCTGCATGGGCTGTGAAGTTTCACCCTGTACTGAGGGGCACAGAGCTTTCAGAGAGATGTGAACCATCCAAAGATGCACTACACCCTCTAGCTCACTTCAGTCCAGGCAGCAGTTCATGCACTGAATGGGGGCTGAGCTCTGGCTCAATGTGGTGACTCCAGCTGCTGAAGCAGAAAACCAGGAGTCCTGTCAGACCTTCAGGAAAGGCAGCAGAGGGGGCTGGGGGAAGACCTGGAAATATCAAAGATTTCTCCTGCGCAAGAGCACGAATTTCAGTTCAGTGAAGAGAAGGAGCCAGCTCACAGTGTGACAGGCTCAAGCCAGCTTTGGCACTTGCATTACTGAAAATAATGGGTGAGTTGTCCCCAACTCAGCAGGCAACCAGCTGTGAACAGGCTCAAGCCAGCTTTGGCACTTGCATTACTGTAAATAATGGGGTGAGTTGTCCCTAACTCAGCAGGCAACCAGCTGTGACAGTTTATTTGCACCAGTGAGCACTTGAGCTAAGGGTTTCTTATCCCAGGGAAAGCTCGCTTGCTAGCTGCAAAGCTACCCAAGTCCAGCTGTTATTAAACAGACACACAAGGTAATCATTATTTCCAGAAGCATTAACAGGATGCCAGGGGTGGCACATGATAAATGACTGAGTAGAATTTTAAAATACATGACTAAGTAGGCTTAAAATTTACATTGCCCTTTTCCAATTTAAACTCTGTCTAATGAAAGACAGTTTAACAGCATGAAGTGCAAGTTGTCTTACACTGGCTCAAAAAAAAAAAAATCACTGGAACAATCAAACCCTGAACATTCCTTAATTAAATGGACAAGTCTCTTGGGAATGACACGGGCAGAGACCATACTTTTTGTATACCAAACCTGAGCAGAGATTGGGTTTTGTTTCTTTTCTGTAAAAAGATAAAACAACTATTTCAAGGTAGAGCTGAAGTGGTTTCAAAATAGCAACGACCCAGGTCATAATCAGAATTTTGTATATACAATTTGCATTAACTTAAAAAAATAAAGAAGTTCAAAATACCTCCAGAGAACATTCTAGGTTAGCAAAATGTCCTGTACAAAAGTAGGCCACATTTGTTGGTTTAAAAGAAGTCCACAGCAGCAGGTCTCTTCTTAGCTGACATAGTAAATGGTCTCTTCATTTGGGGCTCTTTTGCTGGGGTCACTGTGGGTGACTTCAGCACCCCATGATGAGGTTTCTGTTCAGGATTGAAAGCCACACGGGAGGGTCCTTCTGGGCTCACTAATATACTTTTGTCAGTCTTTTTAAATTCTGTTGAGAAACAAGCCAACAAGTTACAAAGAAATGCAAGCCCTGGAATAACTGGGCCTGTCAATCAGCTGTGGAATTCCCCAGCCCTAGAAGCCTGAGTTAGATCCCCAAGCCCAGCAAGGCTCAGAAGCCTTGGCAGAGAAAAGAGATGGTGGTGAAGCACATCTCTCAGCAGAGCCCCTCGGGGAACAGGGGCTGCTGCAATCCACTGTGAACCCTCCCCGTGGCTCCACAGACCCTGGGCCTTTTCCTCAGACACAAGTGTTCCAGCTATCCTGAAAAACACCACACTGGACTTTAAAAGATGACAGTGGGTAAGCAGTGTCTCTACTCTGACTGCTGAACAGCTCCAGAGACTGTTGGCCATCCCTTCAGCCAGCAGGGAGGCACCTATTTTTCATTCTGTTCAGCTGTGTTATATTAACATGAAGACATTTACCTAAATACACTGTTCTCAATTTGAACTTTACCTTTTGCACACTTCAGAGAGTTAAAAAGTAGCCAAATGAATACATGGAATATAATTGTATGCTATGGAGCAAGACATTTATTTAACAGGGAGAACACCACCTGCTTACAGAAGGGAAGTGACCTTTATCTACTCATGATCATTCATAAACCACAAGCAGCCAAAATAAAAAGCAAACTTTGCTACTACAAAGTCTGATTTTCTCAGCATGTCAGCATCTTTGCCTTGGGAAACAGAAGTGAGCAATGAAGACTGTGAAGTGCACGTGTTTCCAGAGGAGCTCTGCAAACAGGCAGCTCAGGAAGGTAAGTTCAAACCCTGCTGCAGTTTTCCACCCATGAGGCTCCTTCTGCAGGGCACTAATGCAGCACCCTGGCATTGCTCCAGCCTAGCTGCAGGGCTGAATGTCCTAAACCTTACATCTCCTCTGGAAAGGAACTTGAGAAGGGTTTGTAAACCAAAAACAAAAATAGTGAGACAGGAACAGAACCACCCTGTTTTAGAGGTGTTGCAGAGATATGTGAGTGTGTACAACTTCCCCATTCCTCAGTTACCAGAGAGACAGTGGACAAACACACACACACATCAGACTCACCTGCAGTCATGTTTTTATTCAAACCAAACGTGACTCTTTTGGAACTGGGTGTCTGCAGTTTGTTCAACTATAAAGCAAAATAAAGACATGAAATAAGTTTTTTGAGGCAATGCTTTGAGTTCTTTCATTTGCACCCACTGATGTAAAACAGCCTACCTCTTCCTTTATTTTGCTTAGAACTACCTCAATCCTCTGGCACTGACTGCTGCTAAGACAGCACTGTTTTCCTAGCCAAAAGCAAACATATTCCATTTGTGCAGAAATCACATACTCTCCTTAATGTCATTATGTAAGTCAACAACAAACAAGAAGATATTTGTGTGTTAAATAGATTGGCCCCACTGCACTCGGGCCTCAAACTGCTAAGAGGACTTGAAAAGCTTTAAATGTTAAAAAGGTCTAGAGAAGAGGGCAGACTTTTGAAGCCCTGCACTGTTTTTCCACTTTCCTCAAACAAGAAATGGAGGCTCAAAGTCCCTTGGCAAGACTGAAATCAGTTTGTTTTTGCTTTCTTGTGAAATGAGCAGATCCAGAATGCTGTGTGTTCAACAAGAAGGCTGAAAGCAGAGGGGAGGGAAGGAGAGATTTCAGAGACACCTATAACTCATTTTCTGAAATTCTGGAGCCACGTGTGACTGTCTATAGCATCAGCATTTCCAGTTATATCTGCTTATGTTAGGAGACTAACAGGGAGTGGAAAAGACATCACAGGTGATGAGGAGCTGGCTTGGGAAGACATTTGTTCCCAGACTCAGCTACTCTTTGTGAGATCACCTCACCTGCATGGATGTCCTGGTGGAAGAGATGGCGCTTCTGGCTTTCCTGAAGAACACTGCCTTTGGTGCAGTTGATTTTTCAAATTTTACAAAATCACTTCCTGGTTTTGCTTTCTTTTTCTTTAATGGTGACAGAGCAGTACTGCTTTCCTGTCGAGGAGGGAAAAGGAAAAATGCTTCAGTACAAAGTTCTGCATTAACTAATACCTAGTCCTGTGACCAGTGCTCACATCACATCAGTTAATCACCATGTTTCGCTCCCAGCAGGTAATTTTGCAATTAGCATGACTGAAAGCAGAAGTTTAAGGCAAGCTCTGTGCAGAAATAGGAAAGTCATTGCAAAGCACAAAAGAAAGAATTTGTAATAGATCTGCCAAGCCCAGCAGAGTGCAAACACATTTTCTCCATGTGCATAAGGATACTTTGCAATTGATCCATCTCTCCTGCACACAAGTGATCATTTTTCTTCCTTCACCATAAGCAAAACCACTTCTGTGGTACCTCTGGATGAATAAGATAAATAACTCATGAACAAACACAGCTTTGGGCTAAGATGAAGACTTTGAAGAAAAAAAATGGAGAATGAAATCTGACTATACTTTCAGAAATCCAGCTATTGTATAGTGCTATTGGTTTGCTGACTAAAATTCATACTTTATTTAAATAAATAAAAATTTTATTTAAATATTATCATATTTAAAGCAATTCATGTCTCCAGTACAAGGCAATTCTTAGGACTTGCACTGGCAGAGCTTTCTAACCTGCTGTCTGTGGACTGTGGTGAGGGGAAGTTCAGTTATGCTTCTCATCCACCTACAGACATGGAATTCTGAAGGTATTCACTGACAAACTGGGCAATGTACAGCAGATATAGCCTCTTTTGATCTGAAAATCACTTCTGCTTCAAATAGAAGAATAAACCACAAGACTTCTGACAAACTGTGGGCAATGTACAGCAGATATGGCCTCTTTTGATCTGAAAATCACTTCTGCTTCAAATAGAAGGAAAAACCACAAGACTCGTTTTCTGAATTGTGGAGACAACCCTGAAATAATGCTGATCTCGTCTGGTTTTTTTCCCTTCTCCTCCTCCTCTTTCCTCTGAATATTTGGAGCTAATTTTCTGGAGGTGTGTGTTGTCCTTGAAATCAAGAATCAAAACATGCCCCTCATTTCTGGGCACAAGGCCAGGATTACATAACTAATACAAGGAAAGAAAACAACATGGTATTTCTCAAGCAATGAAAACAGAATTAGCAAAGCTTAATTTCCTCCACACTTGTACATTTTAAGCTTTACCCTGACCTCTTCTTTCTTCCATCAGTATTCTCCCTCCCCTCCTGACTCAACTTCCAACTTTCCTTGTCTCCATCCCTTTTAACACACACAACTACGTGGACTGAACAAGAAAAAGCAAATGCCATAATTTCTTTGGGATTCCACATGAAGAGTGACCCAGTAGCCCATGCCCTGCCAGCCAACAGGCCAGTGCTGGGGTTGTGCTGCTGCCTTTCCCTCAGTCCTGCACTAAGCTGTGCCAACAATTCCCATGAAATCTGCAGGAACTTCTTATTTTGAATCTGTCACAGGTCTTGAAATCTGTTGGGTCACCTGCAGCAAACTCTCACAGAAAAAGATGGGGGTGTCATAATCATATTTTCTTAGAAATTAAACTTTTATAGGCAAAGAAAACCACGTGTGAAACATGGAATACTGAAGGAGACAAAGCCAATGGTTCCTACTTTGGAAGCCCCACACTGAGAGAAATGCAGTTTGAATAGTGGGGAGAGAGAAACCTTTTGGCTCCTCCCTCTCAGCACTTCATCATCAACAACCAGAAAATGTCAGTTATGTTATTACTGTTTAAGCAAAGTTTCAATATGAATTTTTTCTCCTGTGAAGGACTGAGTAGTTTTATCTCCATATATAAGGCTGCACTACTTAACTAATCCTACAGGTTTAAACAAAAATCCAACAGAAGTGAGCTCATAGGCTCAAAACATGAAGCTTCAACTCTTTTTTTGTACTCCTAAACTCATCTGTGCTTTATGAATTTTTTTCCACCAAAGTAAGACTGTCAGCAACACTTCCAAGAATGTACCTAAACTCCTGAATGTGTTAGGGTGAATATGCATTGGAAATGAGCAGTTAAAAAGAATTTCAGTAGCAGGAGAGGGAAGAACACCTGCACTCTCTTTTTTAGCCACACTATCAAAACTATACAGTTCAAAAAGGTTTTTGATTCTCAAATCAGAGAAAAATCAACGCTATTCTACCTATTACAAAGAAGAAAATGGGGGTGCAAGGTAGAGAGATCAAAAAAAATACGTTGTTGCCAAAATGGAAGGCATACATTTTTCAAGGAGACATTGGCTCTTCCTAGTGAACACAGTATTGTCTTTATAAAAAACTTTATAAAAAATTCATAAATATGATCACACAGCCTGATGACATTAAAGGTCACAGTGTGATATTCTCTATTCCAATGTTCCAGTGTCTATTCCCTTTCCCAAATCCTTTCCCCAGACAGTCCTATCAGTTTTTTTAAGATAGAGCAGTGAGCCAACAGAAGCAGCCACTCCTGGAATTGCTGTGGGCAGCTTCACAAGGAGCTGATCCTAATCTTGGATGCTGCTGCTGCAGAAGGGATGTTCCATCTTCCCATTTCTGTTTTGCCAAAATATGATGCTCTTTGTGAGTGTGCTGTAAAGCTCAGGGACCCAATGCAAAAGAATAATTAACCCAGGGAGCAAAGGAAAAACAGACAAAAAAAGACAACCCCATCTTGTCCCCAACATCCCATTTTTCATCTAGATGGGTTCTTCCAGCTGAGTGGCTGGCACAGGATTTAGTGTCATTGTACAGGAAGATGTGACACTGTAGCAGTGTGTGGATTTCTGGGGAATCAAATTATTTTTTGGTGATAATGCATGATGATATCAGCAAGCAGCCCATGCAGCCCCATGCTCAGAAAGCTAAAGCCAGATCAGAAAATGAGCCTGGCAGCTCCTGAAGCAGGCAGAGAAAAGAATGAGCTGTACATACCACCTTCCTGTTTTTCTTGCATACAGTCTCCAGAACTCCATTGGCTTCGACAGAGTTTAGCACCTCTTTCACTTTTCTCTTCTTTTTCAGAGCTCCTCCATTCTGACTGGAGACTTTCATCCCTTCCAAACCAACTATCTTTGTCTTTGTCTTCAGTGTGGCCTTTCTGGAGGGTGCAGATTCAGCCTCTGCCTTTCTTGGCAGGGTCCCCAGCAAATCCTTGCTGGGTTTCAGGTCAGTTTGCTGCACAGGGGGATCCCCATTCTCCAGGACAGCCCCTGCTTTCTGCTTCTTTTTCACAGCCTTGGGAGGTAACAGAGTGACAGAAGGGCTGACATCCTCTGCTGCACTGGCAGTGGCTGGTCCGTTCTGACACGCTGGTTTTGCAGGAACATTCTGCACTTTAGGATTATTTTTCTTGAACTGCCTCTTTTTACTCTGCTCTGCGTCAGTCAGGCTGTTCTGCACACTGATACTGTGATTTTCTCTGGTGTCAGTTGCTACATCTGTGGTCTCACTGGCCTCATTTACTAGCAATTTCTTTCTCTTCCTCTCCTTTTTATTTTCTGGCACCTTTTCCTGGCTAGAAGCATTGGATCCAGATGTTTCAGCTTTTCCCTCCTCACAATTTCCATCAGCTGTTCCAGAATCAGCACTTGGGCTGTCCCTCTTCTTCCTTTTTTTCCTCTTCCTCTGGGGAGCTGATGGCACCTTCCCACTTGACAGCTCTTCTTTATCCTCTAAATCCATCCCAAAAAGAATGCCACAACACACATGTGAAACACAAAGGTACTTAGAACAACTGAATTCTATCCTATTTGTGTTATTTTCTTTTAAAATAGGTGCACCATTTTCCTATTATCAGCCTGCACAACAGTTTTACTGTTACAGCTGATCAGGACACTGCAGTCTGATGACATCTGGCCTAATTAATATTTTGCTAATTTTGCCTTCTCACAGGTAAGATCTAAACCATTCCCTGTGGCAACCCTACTTTTCATAGCAACATCCCTAAAAAGAGTTGTTATTACCCACCTGTTAAGCCCATCACAAGGGCAGCTCAGGGGTTCAGTATTCCAACATCCCCAAATTCTTATATGCTAACACTTATCTTAAGACTGACATGTTTCTGCTTTCTGACAGTAAATGCACCTGCTCAAAGGAGCAAGGCAAACAGCTGCTTCCAGTTCTGCTTTTGACTGAAATTTTTGAGGTGATGCTTGCCTCAGAATTAGGAAGAGGACTCCCCCCCACTTTCAATGAGAACTGAATTTCACATTTAACCTTCATCACAACAGGATACAAATCAGCATCCTGAACAATAAAAGGAGCAAGGCAAACAGCTGCTTCCAGTTCTGCTTTTGACTGAAATTTTTAGGTGATGCTTGCTTCAGAATTAGGAAGAGAACTCCCCACCACTTTCAACAAGAACTGAATTTCACATTTCACCTTCATCACAACAGGATACAGATGAGCACATCCTGAGCAGTAGTGTTGCCTTCCTCAGAACAGCTTTTATCCGACACTGCCACACTGCACAAGTCACTGCAGATTGTCTCTCTCCCAAATACTGATCTTGCCTTACCTTTTACTTTTTCCAGCTCATTTTGCTGCCAAGGCTTGACAGCTTTTTTCTTTCGCTTTCGCCTACCAGATTCATCATCATCATCTTCATCTGTAGAAACATCTTCAGGAATATCTTGGGGGAAGATTCCTGTTGAAGAAGGATAATGTATCAGAAAACTGAGAGTCCTACTTCTGTGAATAGTTATGCTGTTCATATACAGCATAACTCTCACAGAAAGAAAAAAAACTCCTCTTTCTCTACCCAGCCTTAAAGCAAAGCATACGACCCACTCCTATTTGTTTAAGCAAAAATAATCATCTTTCATTTAAGGACAAAGTACAGGGTTGCTCAAATTGTGAAAGGAATTTGGCCATCTCCAAAATATGTCTAAATTTTAAAAATCCACAAATCCCCCAATACAATACTCTATTTGTTTAAGCAAAAATAATCATCTTTCATTTAAGGACAAAGTACAGGGCTGTGAAAGGAATTTGGCCATCTCCAAAATATGTGTCTAATGTGTCTTAATGAGATTTTAAAAATCCACAAACCCCCCAATACAATATTTTTGAAATGCACATTAAAAAAAGAGGAGTAAAATAATTTCAATACACATTACATATAATAACTACTGTCTTTTTAATGGAAAATAACTACTGTCTCTGTCTGCTGCTCAGTCCTTACCTTCTGCTAAGTCCTGGAACCTGCAGGTGAGAGGAAGGGAGAAAAGAAAAACCAAAACATTGTTACTCATTCAGTACCAATAATAACACTAGCAGAACAGCATCACTGCACTTACTATGGTTTTGTCAAAACAGGAACAACATATTTTTCCACAGGAACTTACAAACTCCAGAAGAAATCCACCTCAGTAACCTCCCTAATCAAACCAAATCACTGAAAGTATTGAGAAAATAGCAATTTAAGACTTTTCCTGCATCTGCTCCTTGCCCCACATCCAACCTGATGTCCCATCCTGCAGCTCAAACCCACACTGTGCAGATAAACCCAGCTGGCTGCAGTTGTCTGGTGCCAACGGGGAACAGCATGAGAATGGTGCCAGGACAAGATGGGTTGGGCAGAAAGAAAACCAAAGTAGCTTAGGACAAGGTGCATTTCAGCAGAACTCACTTTTTGACCAGCTTGTACAGCCGCTTTCTGTTCAGGGAAGGTGTATTTTTCCTGCTTGCAAATTCGAAGATTTTGTCAGCAACAGCCTTGTAATCAAACTGTTGGAGGGAAGTACAACACAGCTGTTCTTAGTTTATCCATGCAAGATAACCCAGTGCAACTGTGTTACAAATATATCAAGTATTAAGTTCAATAGGTAACCTGTAAAGATACACATCTTGAAACAGACACCTCCTTTAAACCCCAAATGTTTTCCTCTGTTGAAATTTACACCCCTTTCACACACTGACTTGTACAGATGGCTGCTTCATTAACACAACAGCTGAACTCGGTATCACTTTCTCAAATGTTCCCAACCTTCATTCTTACTCAAGAGAGAAGCCAACCCACTTCAAATCTCCCATAAATATTTAGCTAAATATCAGATTTAAAGTGTGCCATGTCCTAATTCTTGCTTAAAAGCCACAGATACATGAAGTGTAGTCACCTGCATGTGTGTTTGATGGGAGGATCTATCAGAATCACTACACTGCACTGGCCCTGGGTCTAGAAAACCCAAATTGTAACATATTACCCTCTCTCCTATCCATCATCCATGTTCAATGAAAATTAGGCTGATTGCTTCCCCACCCTCACTGACTTGGCTTTTAGCACACACATTTTTTGACTCTTGAAACAGTAAGGGAGGAGCAGAAAACAGAAGGTAAGGGAGGGAGGAAAGAAGAATTTAGACATGGATTTATTTTACTATCACTCACAGAACACACATTACATAAAAAACACCTTACAATAAATCAGGAGATTAAAACTTTCTAACATGTTTATCTATTAACACACTTTATTTCTGCACCTCTTGAAATGGATAGGGAAAAAAGAGAGCAGAATATCAGTAACAGAGCAAAAGAGCCACAAACCTGAAGAACAGTGCCAATTCCATCATCAGCATTTTCACTGATATCCTCTGTGCTTTCAGCATTCTGTGCTGATTTTCTTGACAGACATCTGCCTGCTATTATAGAAAAAGACTCAATATTAATGCTTTGTCTGAGATAAGCGACTCCAAAAGAACAAGCTTTATTAAGCATCATCTGAAGGGAAGACAGGAAAACACAACTTACAGCACCCTGAACATGTGTGTGATTGGTTGAGAGCAGAAATGTATTTTCAATAAACAGGTTCTTCCATCCTAGCAACTCTTACCAGAGCAATTTAAGTTTCCTCCTTACCTTTGGTTTTAAGCACCTCTTCATTTTCCTGTTTGCCTTCTTCAGACACATTCTCCTCATCGCTGTTGGTACCCAGCTCCTTCATCAGGTCCTCGATGGCGAAGGGGGACTGATCCACGATCAGCTCGAAGACACCGGTGGCCACGGCGTGCAGCACACGCCGACTGCCAGAGAGCAGGGTGAGCCCAAAGGCACAGCACAAACACCCTCCCTCCCATGGTAAAGAAGTGGGAACTTGAGGGAAAATGGATGAGAAAGAAAGTGGGAGAACACCGAGCTCTTCAGATGATGAAAGTGAACCTGTTACTTCTTAAATTAAATCCTTTAATCCAAGCAGTGTCCTGCTAATGTGGCCCTCTTAAATTTCACTCTTTATGTGCTGACCTATATTAGACTGCAAAGGAGCAGCTCAGCTGCTCAATGCATTAAAAAATTAAAATAACTGGGCAAATTAATCAACAAAGGTTGATATAGCTCTTATAAATCCATGGAGACTATCTATGGCTCTGATAAACACAAGTTATCTTCAAATGACTGTGCAAATTGCTGGTAAAATACCCTTCTTTCTCTACATTCTGAAATTATGATTCTTTGATCCATTTATTACCATATTCAGAGTTTCTTCATTCTTAAAAAATATTTATTCTTTAATCAAACTTACTCCTTTGCTTTGGCAGCAATTTTGCAGAAAGGTTCGATGAACTTGAGATTCTGGTCTGCTGTGAGCTGTTTGATTGGAAAGAAAAAATATAGTGAGTACATAAAATGCTGTATATGTGCACTGAAATTCCTTGAATATTGGTGTTTGTACAGGAATTGGTATTGGGGGATCTTCTTTAACAGCCTTGCAGCATATTATCTAATTCCAACTGGCAGAGGTATCCAGGGCCTTTTTGTTACCACTAACTTCCAGATATTCCCTGGAAGTATTACCAAAACATTGACTGCCTTGCAGACTTTATTCTGCTGAGTACAGAAATACAACAAAGCTTCTCACTTCAGATAAGGAACCATGAGGCAGAGAAAGCTTAAATAATTTTGTGTACTTTCCCAAAGGTCTGTAGCAGACAAGAATAGGACTTGGATTTCTCTTAACTGGGCTGCTTGCATCAAAACCATCTCAGCTACAGTAGAGATAAAGATCCTTCCCTTAAAAATATAATTTATGAGTATCATTTGTGATTTCAAATAGTTCTGGGGGACTCACTCCCCTCTCCAGGCTCCCAGTGAGTGGCTAAGCCACAGTTTTGTGACTGTGGAGCTGCAGAAATGATTTGGGCTCCAATTCTCTTGTGCAGACTTTATCTCTCTCTTGAGCCACACTCCAGAACCTCAAAACCTGCAGGCAGGATTGGTTTGAATACTGACTGCAAGGAATAGGAATGGAAAAGTGCTGAGAGCTTTGTCCATTGCAAGGAGAAGTATCAGAGGTCAGAGGCAAAGGGAGGAGGAGCCTGGGATGAACATTGGGCAGCAGGAAGGGTGGAGGGACAGCAGAGATGCTCCTTGGCTTTGCTGCTGCAAAACTCTGCCCCGCTGGAACAGCAGCCAAAATTAAGGGCCATTAATTGTCACAGCAAGACACAGCAGAGCAAGGCAGATGTCACCAGCAAAACAAACATCTGGATGTGGGGGGTAAACTCCACAATGCACAGACAACAAGAAGCAAATATTAGACAGCTGTGAAGGTTCACTTTCCTCCTCTATTTACATGCACAACAAGCCAAGAGCAGGCTTTATGTCAGCCTTTGCTTTTGCAAAGGCTGGAAAACACGCTCACACAAGGGAAATTACACTGAGTCCCCTCTGAAACAAAGAAATGAGAATAGTCTAACTATTTTATTGCTATTTTTCCAACCTCAATTTGGAGCAGCATAGCACTACTCAGGAACTTGACAGAAACTACCACATTCCCACTGTCAAAGACATGAACAAAAGCAAAAGCATAACTTGTGGTAAGTCACTTTCTTCATGCTTACTCAGTGTTGTTGTATTAAAAAACATTAAAAATTAAATAACCTAAAACTTAAATTTCCTCTAAGATGCTTCATGCCACAGTTGATGTCAATCAGGAATAAAATGACAAAGTTTTTTCTAACCTCCTTTGCACCAACTTTAGCCAATTCATCCAGATAGATATCAATGAAATGGAACTTTATCCCAGTGGGAGAATTGCTGTCTGGGTCCATAATTTCTTTCATTAACAGCTGCAGCAATGGTTCAACTAGACTGAAAAAAAAAAAAGAGAAAAAAAAAGAGGTATTAGTATTCAATTGCTCATGTCTTGTTTGCCTTGAAAACAAACTCTTGTCTTGAAAACAAACTCCACTTCTTTACAGTTATGGACAGCTACCCAATTTGAATTTTTTCCCTTTTTTTTTTTTACCCTGTGGCCTATCATTGCTGTCTTTCAGGAAAATGAAGTTTTGTGTATTCCAAGCTTTGTCACCTGGCATTCTTTAAGACCTGCTGCAATTTTGCCCAGAACAAACATTTCCAGTCCCAAAGAGAATTCAAAACACTGAAAACTCATAAACATTCTTTGAGTTTTACTTTAATACACCTTTCTTCAAAAGCATTTTAAAAGACAAGAGGGAAGAAAGTCATGCTAGGCAGCTTCTTGGCTCCACTCAGGAGGGAAAGGCAGTTCTTGAGCTCCCTCAGTCTGCAAAGAAAGGAATCATGATCCTCTCTTTCCACACTGCCTCCTTCCAGTGAAAGATGGAGGCCAAAGCCATAAGAAACCTTGTCAGAAATCAGTTTGGGTGACCATGTGTGTGGGAAGAAGGGCTTCAGCTTTTTCAAACCTCCTCCCACACCTCCTGCTCCTGTCAAGCAACATTTTCATCTCTTCAACCTGAGGGCATTTACCCAGTGCAAAATTAAGGTGGAACAGCAGGGATGGGATGTCCTTTAGCTCTGCATTCCTTTCTGTTTCCACAAAAACATGCCTGTGTGATCCCACATTTCAGATGGTGAGAGAGAGAAAGGATAATCTTAACACTGGGTTATTGAGCACTTTCAATTAAAAGATTTAAATCTCTCCATCAATTTAAAGACAACGAGCTTAGAAGTGGCACAAGAGCTCTAGACACAGCAAATTACTGCAATTATTTGCCTTTTAATAGAATATGGAAGAAATACAATCAAAACCACTGAAGTTTACAACAAACAGGAGGCTAGTTTGCAATTAAGGGGTCCTGTCTTATCAGAAGAGAAGTAACCATGATTAACCACAATAAAAATATACTTTAAAAAGAAAGTCAGAGCCAATCAGAAAACCATAAGCACAGAAAAAAATTCCTTTTCTGTATTTTCTGGGATGTAGGTGCCCTGTCTAGTCTCTCTGTAGCTGATATTTCATTGATAACTCTTCTGTCTATATCAGAAAATGTAATACATTAAATAGTGTATTTAATTTAATGATGTGTAACACCTTACTATGTTACTAAACAAAGTGATATGAAGAATAAATAAGCCTTAATATTAAGACTTCATGACAGTGGCATCTGTGGAAAAAAATCTATTAAATGAAAATATATTTGAATACAGGTATATTGGGTGACTTGTTTATGATGCAACAACATTCAGAAATCTGCTTACCCCTCATCCCATTCATTTCTTTTCAGCACTTCAAAGGATTGCCTCAAAATCAGACGCATCAGCTGCAAAGCACAAAATCTGTTAAACATGTTGTTTATGAAAACAGGTAAAGGAGCCACTGTGACTGTAATATGAACAGATTTCTTGGTCAACCTCTATAGCACAAAGTGGAAGCTGCCTCACATGAATGCTTTGACAGATTGTCTATCATGTAATGCAACAGAAAGATGCTGTGAAGAAAAAAGACAACAAACTATTCTCATATGCTAAGCACAAAACATCCGTGATCAGTTGTACTATACAGCTTTCTCTTGATTCACACCCCTGATTTCTTCATTAAGTACTGCTTTAATCTAAGAAAAGCCACAGCTTAAACTGGACACAACAATAGGGGACAGATGATAAAAATAATAATTTCATTTACTTGACAATTGCACTAGGAGACAGTCACATGTAAAACAGCCACATTCGACTGGCTCAAAACACTTCACTTACTGAAACAACTTCTATCTACTAATATTGGGAAAGAAAAACCACCAGTGAATGTGCCTGCAATTAACTTCTTTCAAAGAAGAAGATAATGGACTTTTGTTATTTTTAAGATTTTAGTTCCTGTTTTAAAATTCTGTTTCCTACAGAAAGAATTCTGACTACTGAATGCACTACAGTGGATACTTTACTGATGGAAAGTTGGGGTTCTAGTGCAGAGTCATAAAAGCCTTTAAGTAGTCTGACCTAAACTACTGATGTTGATACAGGGTTCTTTGAGACAGTATTTATATTCCAGTATAGAAATCAATGAGAAAAATCACTATGTTAGAAGGGAAAGCACTTGAGCACAACATAAACTGTGCTGGCTTTTAGGTTCATGCAGTGGTGAGTGCAAGCCTCTGAAACAAACATCCCCTGCAAGGTGTCAAGAAGATGATACCCTGTCTTCTCTTACAACGTGCAGACAGAGCTGCCTTCCAGCACCACTTTCTAGGAGAAAACACCACCCAGAGAGGTAGAATTACCTCTTATTAATTACCTATGATTAATTATACCACCAGAGAGGTATAATTACCATGTAGTACTTGTCCAGCCGCAGATTGTCAATCCCGTTCCACTCCCGGTTCATCGTCTGCCAAAATGTCTGGATGAACAGGTGTCCTGCAAGGGAGCAAGGAGAAACACCTGCACGTGGGGCACAGAGGGATGTTCTGCTGACCTGAAAGGGGCTCAAGAAAGGGATGTACTTCCCAAGGATTCTCCTAGAGACAGGGACAGAGCTGTGGGAAGACAGGCTTGACACTGCTACAATGATCAATTAAACTTGAGAATGACACAAGAAAAGGCACACAGCCACTTTTAAAAGCAAGCAAGTTTAATTACAGGGACAGATTTGTATCTATTTTGTGTTATATACACACAAGCTTGAGCACAATACCTCTTCTGCACCCATTTCTACCCAAGCATTTTTGGCATTGACTGAGTATTCCATTTCATAAGCATTTTGAATACCAGGGGCTTAACTGCTCATGAAACAAGACTGGTTTTGAGCAGGAAATACACAGAACAGTCTATGCAGAATGGAGAAGTAAGAGGACAAGTTTGTTTTGCTACCTGTCCTCAAAAATCTCACCTGTATCCCACTGAAGACACAACTCTTCTGCAACAGTCAGAAAAAACCTGCAGCTGCTGCCTCCCTTAATGGAATCACATTGACCAGTTGGACAAAAAGGAAAGAAAAAAACACCAAAACACCCCCTCTGTCTGTCTGTCTTTATTCTGGCACTGTGACAGTGGAACCACCAAAGAGGGAAGCACCCTACAAAGCATTAGGTAATTCAATAGTACTTACGAGTCTCAGTATTCTGAAACACGTGGATAAGCTGGGAGATATTGGCTGCAAGTTCCTCCTAAAAGTAAATAAATATAGTTAGTGTAGCATGTTTGGTCTCCTCACTAAACATATGGCCAGCAAACAGCAAGAAGTGTGAATTTCATGAAACATCTCTCAAAATGAAAAACATTCCCTCAACATCTGCTTTAGTACTGCAGTTATCCTTGCACTGGTACTAGGTCAGCTGGAAGAGAAGTTTCAAGGGTATCAAAACCTGTTCATTTTACCAGATCTCTGCACAAACCATCTTTCTGACAGCATGCAAAATTAAATTAGGAGGAGAAAAACCCCATGTATTTGAATTAATAAATGATGGAAAACTTATGAGGCACTGCCCTCATACAGATCTCTGTGGAGGGGTGTGAGCTATGTGTGACATAAACCTTGTTCATGCAGACAAGAGACCTAAAAATTGAGGTTACTGAGAGCTGGCACTCCAAAACCAGTACCTTTGGAAAGCAGGGAGACAAACTAGTAGAAGTTGACAAAAATATGCACTAGGGACAAAGCTGGTAGTAGAGGAAGTGCTACTGAACTAACAAAGGAAAAGGAAGTGCGGAACTTTCACACCAAAATCTGCACAAACGTTGTCGCTGCAGCTAAGGGCAACCTGCTGTTACTGTTTTAGTTACACAAAGTCAACATTTCAAGAGACATCTATTTTAGCTCTCCTTTTGAAGTTTAAACAGCTACGCCAGCCCCTCAGAAGGTGACTCCAAACATGATCTGTTCATGTTCAGATCACTGAGTTAGTCACCTCTTCTCCTACACATGCCACAGATGGGCTGCAGGGGCAGGCAAACACACAAAAAAAAGAAGTTAATTTTCCCTATTCTAAACTAGTATGTCCCTAGAATGTATTTTAGAGGGCCCCCTCAAGCAAATACAAACCCAGTTACTATACCTGAAGCAGAGGTTTATCCTGCATCCACATACAATAGAAAAGGCCCTTCCATATTTTCAGCAGTTCTTCCAGACTGAAGCCACCTACAGCACAGAACAAGTCGGAATGAAAGGAAAAAAATACCAAGATACCAAAATATTTTCATGCAGTTCCCTCTGCTCCCTCTGCTTTCTTCTTTGTTTTTGTTATTTTTTTCTGGCTTGCTACTGTAAACACATTAACTGGAAGGCAAATTGGCATGGAACAATGATTCAGTGACTGTAACCTTCTACCTTGTACTGAAACAACAAAGATTTCAAAGCAATCACAGGTAAGATGAATACCAAGATAATTCTGAAAAATGCCTCTGGCATATCTTTAATACCGAGTCTGAAAGAAATTTTTAATGAGAGTATCAGAAATAGTTTTACTAGAAACATGGCATTTTTTGTTTTGTTGTTTTTAACCAGTCTCACACTACCAATAGTTCTACTCCTTACTAGGGGTTTGTTTTGATAGAATAAACTTACAGCAATCAACACATTTATTTCTACATTAAACTTTACAGTCAAAGAGCCTGAGCAACTACAATGTATGTTTTTCTGATACAGTTAGTCTTGGGATATAGTAACACCTGAATTTTAACAGCAAAAAAAATATTTTCACATTCCAGAAGTAAAGTACTACGTGGAAAGTCACTGATACCTGCTCAAGAACTGAGTTTTTCATTACATCAGCTAAATTTATTCAAAGTAAAATTAACAGTACATTGTTACAAGGCAGCTACAGTGACCTACTACAGCTATTTTCAAACTATGGCCTATTAAATACTCCCAAGCAATCTCATGAAAAATCACTTTGAAAAGGGCATCATCTTCAGTAAGCTCAAATTTGCTCCAAAAAGATCACTTTTCTCAGGGGTCTGCCAGTCAAAAAGCCTGAGACCCAGTGCAAGATATAAATTGTGCACCTTCTCTATGGACCAAGTAATTTGAAAACAAAATTCATTCAGACAAAAACACCTGCAAACACATTAGTCCTGCTTGCTTGAAAAGAAAGGAAGTAAGGAAATATGCAAAATGCTAGGTAGGAAGCAATGTGTCCAGTAATATTAAGCATTAATTATAAATTTAACTTAGATTTGACAGTACTGTTACTATAAAATATGAAACAAATTGATTCACTGATTTAATATTCATTGAAATATTAAAATTAATAACATTTCTTAAGGGGATTGTATGTGACATACTGAGTGGTAAGAAGCAGTTTTAACCTCACAGGCAGCATTAACCCTAGAGGCATCACCTGCTACCTATAAATGTGGCTCAGGAGTTCACAGAATTGAATCACAGAATTATTCGGGTTGGAAAAGACCTCTCAGATAATCACTGCAAGGCCATCACTAAACCATGTCCCCAAGTGCCACATCTACACATCATTTAAATCCCTCCAGGGACAATAACTTCACCACTGCCCTGGACAGCCTTTTCCTGTGCTCAGAGGGAAGAAAATACAGACTTTCATGGGGTTTTTTTTTTGCTTTTCATACACACAGGGCTTTTTTAAAGGGTCCTAGGCAGTCCTGTGTCCATTTAAAGCAATTTTCTTATCCTAGTGCCTCAAAAGAGTAGTTTCAAGTTTGTTTTTTCTGTTGTTCAACTTTATGTGCTGTCCCCAGCACCAGCTGGCAAATAAAACCCACTAAAGTAAGGTTATTTAAAAACCTGAATGCATTATATTAGCAACCACAGTGCCCAGAACTGTTAAGGCTGCCTATACCTTGAACCTATCCTGAGAAAGATTTTGGCTTTAGGGCTTGAATTGTGACTGTCCCTGTGCACAGCAACTCTGTTCTGTGTATCGTGGAGCTGGGATTAACATGTTCGAACCACTCAGAGCTGCTTTAGTTTTTTTTTTGCTTTTCATACACACAGGGCTTTTTTAAAGGGTCCTAGGCAGTCCTGTGTCCATTTAAAGCAATTTTCTTATCCTAGTGCCTCAAAAGAGTAGTTTCAAGTTTGTTTTTTCTGTTGTTCAACTTTATGTGCTGTCCCCAGCACCAGCTGGCAAATAAAACCCACTAAAGTAAGGTTATTTTAAAACCTGAATGCATTGTATTAGCAACCACAGTGCCCAGAACTGAAGGCTGCCTACACCTTGAACCTATCCTGAGAAATATTTTGGCTTTAGGGCTTGAATTGTGACTGTCCCTGTGCACAGCAACTCTGTTCTGTGTATCGTGGAGCTGGGATTAACATGTTCGAACCACTCAGAGCTGCTTTAATGCAAGCTTGGCCAGCCTTTCTGCCTGGGAGTTGGGCTGCTTTGACACTGTTATCATTGAATTTGTTACAATTTCTCCTATTCTAGATAATTGCAATGGACCAGATCCACACAGGCACATTTCAAACTTATAAATTGGAAATTATATAAATTGGAAATTATATTAATCCTTTACAGATCCAGGCCCAAGTAAGTGCAGCTCTGTCAGACAGGAACCCCCCCAGCAATCTGCCCTCTTTTACCAGAAGTTATTTCTGTTTACAAACCTTTCATCGATTCATTTGGTAGTTCAACGCTTTCCACAGAGTTTAACTTCTTGCTGAAAATTAAGAGCTCTGGCTCTTTGAAGAAGCTCCCTCAGCCCTAGCACAGACCACACAGGGCAGCCCTGTCCACCTATAAAACACCTGGCAGCCCTGAACATCAGGTGAACTACATCATCTCTGCCAAAAGTCAGCACATTGCCAACTCCTCAGGTCAGGGCATCTTACCTGGGCTGCCTGATGTGTGAATCCCTCTCAGAATATTGGGTGGGTATAATAATATATAATATAATTAATAAATAACTGCTAATAATAAATAACTATATATATAAAACTTTATATATATAATTATAACTGCTAATTAATAAATAACTTTAAAAAACCCTTCTCTCCTGAACACGCTTTTTCTCCAAGCCCGAAGAAGTTAAATCTTTGTTTTAATACTACCAGTTTGGATAGTACCTAACAGCAAGCAAGTCTGAGAGCTCTGGAAATTAATCACCCTTGCTTCCTGCTCATTTGCATTCCATGGTGTGCTGATTTTAACATGCAAAAGGTTCACAGCCCCACTGAGCTGCGGCTTTTCCTTGTGGTTTCATGATGTTTTAAAGCAGTGCCTGAACCTGCAGCCTTTTCCCTCAGTTATGGGCAGCCCTGTCCTTCCTGTGGCTGCTTCCAAGGAATTAGCACTTTGCAGTGAGATGCTCAGAGCACTGCTGAACACACAGCCCCCCTCAGAAAGTCTCCAGAGCTAAAAAATAGAAAGTACTTGGGAGGTACATGATGTACACCATCCTAGTCCCCAGGCAATCCCAGATCTGTGTTAACTTCCAGGAATGGATAATGCCTGTTTGGCTCCCTGGCCTGACCCTGTAAGGCTGTTCTGGGTGTCCTTCCCTCTGTCAGATGTGCTTAATGGGTCAAATACTACTTGGAAAGGCAAGAAACAATATTCACTTCACAGTGAATACAGGAAGTCACGGAGGTCCAACCAGCACTCCAGTTTAGCTCTTGAGGTCAGCTCTAGGCTGGTTCCCCAAAGCCATATACACTATATATTCTAATATAAAAAATATAGATGCAATATGTAATAATAAATAATTTAACTACATGGTAATAAAATAATGTATAAAGCAGCTTATAAAATATATGTGGCTGCTTCCAAGGAATTAGCACTTTGCAGTGAGATGCTCAGAGCACTGCTGAACACACAGCCCCCCTCAGAAAGTCTCCAGAGCTAAAAAATAGAAAGTACTTGGGAGGTACATGATGTACACCATCCTAGTCCCCAGGCAATCCCAGATCTGTGTTAACTTCCAGGAATGGATAATGCCTGTTTGGCTCCCTGGCCTGACCCTGTAAGGCTGTTCTGGGTGTCCTTCCCTCTGTCAGATGTGCTTAATGGGTCAAATACTACTTGGAAAGGCAAGAAACAATATTCACTTCACAGTGAATACAGGAAGTCACGGAGGTCCAACCAGCACTCCAGTTTAGCTCTTGAGGTCAGCTCTAGGCTGGTTCCCCAAAGCCATATACACTATATATTCTAATATAAAAAATATAGATGCAATATGCAATAATAAATAATTTAACTACATGGTAATAAAACAATGTATAAAACAGCTTATAAAAATATATGCTTTATATAAAAGAAAAATAAAATATAGATTATACATGACATTATATATAAGTAATATGAGGTATAGGAATAACACACATCCATGTGGAAACTGTGCACATGAGGCACTTTCAGGCACAGGGAGCTTCAGACTGGCCTTGCCAGCCTCAAACAGGCTCCGGGGACATCACTGAGCTCTTAGTTCTAAGGCGCCAATATACAGAATTTTTGGGAAAATGTAGAAAGCAAGCTTCTGATAGCATGAAGTGGAGGTAACAGGTAACCCAAATGGGTTACACAGAATCAGGTGCAATTACACACGTGCTGAAACATAACTCCATTCCCTCCGATTCTCCTGAGTATCAATCATGGAAACAGACAGATACAACAGAAGACAAAACTTCACGCTGCAACTACCGGGATGTTTCCAGCCTGGATATTTTCAGTGCATTTACTCCCTGTTCCTTGGGAACGAGAGCACACGAGCCGTGCTGCTCCCATCCCGGCTTTCTTAATGCTGCCAGCGAGACCCTGACTCGCTCCAAGCCCATCCTTCCCGAGCCCGGAGACCCTTCCCGAGCGAGGATCCACGAGTGCACCGGGTGTAAAAAAAAAATAAATAAAAAATTAAAAAAAAATAAATAAATAAAGCCCGAGAGGAAGCCGTGAGGAGGCGTGCCGGCCCAGGGCGCACACGTGGTGCTTCCTCTGCTCCCCACGCCGCTGTCCCCGCCAAGCACCGCCACCTCTCCCTGTCCCCGTCCCCGTCCCAGCCCGGTCCCGGTCGCCCCCCGGGCCGTACCGCCGGGCCGCTGGCTCCGCACGCCGATGTAGCCCCGCAGCTTTTTGAGGGCGCGGTCTCGGATGCGCTTCTCGTTGGCGGCCAAGCGCTGCGCGAACTGCACCTCGGGCGGCTGCACGGCCGCGGGAGCCATGGCCCGGCCCTGCCCCGCTGCCACCCGGCCTGCCCGCGCCGCGCCGCGCCGTGCCGTGCCGTGCCGTGCCGGGCTGTGCCTGATGCCGTCAGCGGCGCCGGGCGCTGCCGTCAGCGCGGGAGGCGGAGCGCGGGGACGGGCCGGGCACGTGGAGTGCACCGGACCCGGCGGATCCAGTCCTGAGGGCTGGAAAAGAACCTCTGGGATCATCGGGTCCAGCCCCTGAGCGAGCACCACGCTGTGGACCAGGACAGCACACAGCCCCACGTGTGCCCCGTACGGGGGGTAATCACTGTCCTGGTCCTGCTGGCCGCACTGTTGCTGACACAAGCCGGGTGCCACTGGCCTTCCTGGCCACCTGGCTCACGTTCAGCCTCTGCTGAGCAGCACCCCAGCTCCTTTTGCTCCGGGCAGCTTTCCAGACTCTCTCTCCCCAGGCTGGAGCTGCAGGGGCTCGTTGTGACCCAAGGGATGAGCAGTTGGCCGTGAACCTGCCACCGCTCGGTCCTTGCATCCCGCCTGCCCAGATCCCCTGCAGAGCCCTCCTCCAGCAGATCAGTGCTCCCTCCCAGCTTGGTGTCAGCCCTGCAGCCTCCAGCCCCAGCGGCACCACGGCAGGGCCGGGCTGCAGCTCCGCACACCCCGCTATTGTCCCACTGCTACCCCAGTTTTATCCCGGTGTTATTCCAGGGTTATCCCGGGGCGCTCCGGGCGGGACTGGGGGCGGAGCCTAACCCTCAGACCACGCCCCACAAGGCGTCTACCCAATCGGAGTGGGCGTGGGCGCAGCGGGGGCGTGGCCATAGCGTGTCCCTCCCCGCCTCACGCCGTCCCCGCTCCCGCTGTGGCCGCCGTGGCGATGTGGCGCAGCGCCGGCCTGGCTGGCGACGCGCAGGTATCGCGGCCGCCCGCGGGCCCTCGGGGCTGGCCCTGAGGCCCGGCCCGGCCCGGGGGTCCGTGCGGGCGTGGGTGCCCCGAGGAGCAGAAGGAGCGTGGGTTGTGTGCTGTCCTGGGCCGTACGGGGCGCTGAGGGGGCGATGGCGGGGCCGCAGGGACAGGGGAGCGTGGAGGGGGCTGTGGAGGCAGAGAGGCACCCTGGGCTGGGGGGAGTGAGTGGGGACAGGGCTGGCAGCGATTCCTCATGGCCAGCTGGGAGCTGTGCCCTGTTCGGCTCTCCCGACCGGCAGGGAAGGGAATTCCCGTCCCTGGGCTCAGCCCAGGCAGGACAGGAGCTCAAATGTGGCACTGGGTGACTTCACCCCTATGGAAAAACTCGCTGAAGTCAAATTTCCTGCTTCCAGGCACCTGCTGTTACTGTAAGGGCTGCACAGAGAACTCCTGTTCTCCCTGTCTGTATTTGTCTTTAACATACTCCTGTCGTGCAGAGAGATGTGGAGAAGCTGCTTAAATAGAGAAAATAAAATTTATCTGCTGTAACTGCAGTGCTGCAAAGAGCTGTGCCTACAGAGGGAACTGCAAAGGAGAATTTTCCCCTTACTGCATATTTCATATCTCAACACCAGTGATTCACAGCGTGTTTTATTTGAATTTGGCTTCTGCTAGTGAGCAGAGCTATTTTTGTGTACCAGATTTTGCTCTGTAAGTCTGAGCAATGCTGAATTCTCTCTGTCATTCACGGTTGCTGACACACAGATGGCATTCCTCTAAAGACTCCTCTTCCCATGTGTTTGTTCCGTGCTTTCTTGAGACCTAGATGAGTGGAATTTTTCTAGAGTCACGTCATGTGGTGCTGCTTGGCCTTATGAACCTTGCCATAAGCACTTCCTAGGTGCAGCTTAGAGCTTACAGTTCAAAACAAAGCAAAATCTTTCTTCCCTACCTTCATTACATATCTGAACCCGCAGAGGTGGGACTGACCTGTCCTAAAACTATCTGGATTGGAAAGAAATAGAGCAGGAAGCAAAATTGAAAGGAAATGTTCAGTCTGAGGAAGAAGGGGAGCAGAAAGAATTGTGGGGAATGGTTGGAGAGGATGACTCCCATTTGTTTTGTGTGTCTGGTCTTGAGAGAACTGTGGGGATGGCACATTTTGAAGCTGTAGGAGATGAGATTTTGGTTTGTTAGCCTTTTCCCTCTGCTACAAGATGTGATCCATAAAACATCTCATTTTGTCAGCACTGCTCTCAGTGCAGTGCAAAGCAGTACTAAGATATAACTTTGCTTTCTGAAAGCGTATTAAGTGATTGATGTTTTAGTCAAAACATGTTAAAACTTTCCTTTTGTTTTTATGTGTATCAGCCTTTTTAACATCCAGCAGAGTGCACATATAGGTACATCAGAAACTGGACTTTATTGGGGTTTTTTGCACAGAAATTGATCTGTCCTTTTAAAATTAACACACATTCTGCTGGGATGTTGAATGAAAATTATTCTATAGCTGTAGTTTGCCTGGAAAGGAAGCTAAGTAAACATTTCTGTCATACCTTGAGATTAAATTATTTATGTGAGATTGGATTGCAGATGGCTGCAAGTAATTTTTGCTCTTCACAATAGATAAATTGGTTTGAAAACTGTGCAGTTTCCTCCAAAAGAGTTGTTGTAATTGAGGACTGTGTATCTTGCAAATGTTTGAATTAATTAAGAAGCTGTGTAATCGCATCCTTTACGACAGTCGTGAAACAACAGCTTGGTGTGTGCTGCTCACATTTTAAAATGAGAGTGTTAATTTTTGCAGCATTCCCAGATGCATTGCACACATTTTGGGTGAAGAAACACATGAAGAGAGGTAATGCTATTTACTTAAGGCCACAGAAATTAAGATTACAGTGAAAGGGTCAACCTCAGAGACTTTTGGGTTTGATTGCTGGACAGTTCTCTTAAAAAAGTTACAAATTGTGAAATGATGCCATAGAGAGGAATATTTTTGTCCAAGAAAAGAAATTGAAGCAGAAAAGCACAACAGGACTGTAACAGTGTCTTTGCTTGGTTGTTGGTTTGTTTTTGTTTTGCTTTGTTGTTTTATTTCAGAAGGCTGAGACCAAAGAGGAATTCGTAAAAGTTAGAAGGAGGGATTTGGAAAGGCTGACAACTGAAGTTATGCAACTGCGGGATTTCTTACCCAAAATAGTAAATGGAGATATCCTGGGGACATTCCAGAAGCTGGATGCTATTGAATCAAGTGAGTAGCACCATCTTACAAGCTCTTGCAGTTTCTGCCAGAACTGCTTAGAACAAACTGTTGTGCTCCAGAAATAGCTGTAGAGTTTGTGGAGCCATTCCAGATCCAACTGTGTTGTTCAGTGACTGCTTCAGTAAATTAATGTGTTTGTAGTGAAGAAAATTACAAGCTGCCTTAGGAATAATCAGACATGTCAAACGAATCTTTAAAAATATTTTACTGTGGATAAAAACATATGTAGTTCAGGCAGTAAGGGAAGCTGTATGAGGAACAAAAAATGTTTTCCTTTTGAGAAAAGGCAAAAACATTTTGTTTTTCAAAAGGTGACTTTCACAGAAAAAAAAATCCCAACAAAATAATGGTAAATAGCAGTGGGTAAAAATTTGAAGGGAGAGTGAGTTAATCTTGTATTTGGCCTGTCTTTTTTTTTTTTAGCTTGTATGCTTTACTAATAAAAAAAAAAAATTCTGTAATAAAAGTATTTTTATTGCTGTCCTCAAAGTCCATTTTTTCAATGTTGGGTTTCTCTGTGCATTTTTTTTTTCCAAAAATAACTCCTCTCCCAACATTCCATCAGGGCCAAACAGGAGTCAGCTCCATCCCTGGTCTGTAGCTTACCTGCAGCTGCACAATTTACCTGGATTTGGGTTTGCCTGAAAAGCCATGGAACAAGAGACATTACAGAGAGTGTGTCTCTTCTAGAATACCAAGTGAAAAATGGAAAGTTAATTTGCAACAGGCAGCTAAGGAGAAGCAAGGTGGGGCCTCAAGGCTCTATATATACAAGTGAAAAATGGAAAGTTAATTTGCAACAGGCAGCTAAGGAGAAGCAAGGTAGGGCCTAAAGGCCCATGTCTGACAATATAATATATTGGGGCAGAGCTTCCAGCTGCCTCAGTGATCCACTTTTTGGGAAGATTCCTCCATGTCACAAGCAGTGGACAGGATCTGGAAGTGTTCTCTGTGGCAAGGCACCAGGGACTGTTTCCAGCTGCATTAAGTGTTCAAGATCCTCAATTTGTTTTTACTTACTTGTCTTGGGATTCCTCTCACTGATCCTTCTTACATTCCTTGTGCCAGGCATCAAGGAGACACTGTCCATCCAGAGCAGGCTCATGGCATCAACATGGGGATTTTAAGAGTCCTTCAAATGTTCTGCTGGCTGCCCAGAATTCTCTGGGTCCTCGAGGGCAGGACCTGAAGCTGAGACAGATTTTGAATTCTCTGGAGTCTTTCTCCACAGTGGAGATTTCTTTTGCAGGTGATGAGGTCATCTGTATATTTATTCAAGCTCTGGCCACTGTGTGCCCCTACAACTGGACAAGTCAAGTGGAGATTTTTGCTGCTCCAGTCTTCTCCTGCCTCTGCAGCATGAAATAAGGCAGACTGAAAGGAGGCTTTGGAGCATACAAATCACTAAAGGTTGGACATCACAGGGACACAAACAGCCTTCACTCTCAGAATGGTGCTGTTTGCTGCATACAGCTTCTCTGTGTGGCGTGTGAAGCTCACAGGAGTCCTGGCAGCTCCTAGAGATATTTTTTCATGTTCTTACAGAAGCCTGATGTGTGATTTGTACATCTCCAGGCTTCCATCAGCTGTTGCAGTTTTCTGGGTACTTGAGCAGCAGTCTCCTTTCCCTCAAGAAGTGCAGATTACAGCCAGAGGCTTTCAACACCTCTGACCCATTCAGTTGTGAGATTGATGGGGTCTGGAACGGCTTTGAGAAACACTGAGTTGAGAAACCTTGAGATCTTTGCACGTTTCCCTGGTGTGTGCAGGTCAATAGGACACCCATTTCCTGTGGCTTCCTGGGGGTGATCTCTGAAGTCTGAGCTGGCAATGCTCAGTGCAGCCAACACCTGCTTTTCAGGCTGCTGTCAGGGTCTTCATTAAGATTTTTGTAGTTGTTCATTTCTAAAAGAGGGTTCTGTTTTGTTCTTATTACCCTTCTCAGGAAGAGTGCTTGGCTTCAGAAGTTTTAGAAATACAGCTCCAGCAATTCTGTATTATTATGGATATGTTTAGTGGAACTCACTCCACTTGGGAAGTGTTAAAATTAGCATTTAACATTGCTCTAGCATTTGGATCACTAGAGTTGGAGTTCCATTACTTGTTGGCAATCATTCCTATTGTACTCAGTTGTCCACCTCCCAGAGCTTTGAGATTAGATGTCTGGTCCAGAAAGTGTCCCAGTATGACCTATAACTCTCTGTGGATGAAACCAGTCTACCTCTCATCTGAAATGGGGACCTTCTTTCCTGTGCCTGGTGTCTTGTTCTGCTTTGGAGTCTCTAGCTAGAGAGCAAGTGCCACTTCTTCCCAGAGCCTGATTTACCACTGCAGTGGTGAAGTTACGTATTTCTTCTTTGTGTGAAGGTGCCATTCAGTTTTTTTGTTGCTCACCCAAGCTGGTAATGAAAGCTGCTTCTTTCTCTTCAGAGCAAAGGCACAGCTGGGAGAGCTGACTGGGCATAGCAGGGAAGTTTCCACAAATGAGGAACAATGTGAAGCAAGTCTCTTTTCAGCAGCTTCCACGATTGTCCTTTTTGCCCCTTCCACATAAAACATTGTGATACCTTAGAGAATGTTGGCACATCCTTCTTTTATCTGAAGCCCTTTTAAAAGTCCAGGTTGCATTGTGTTAACAATAAGTAGTCATTATTATTCCCCTTCTGGCTCAGGTTTGGTTCTGGGATCTTTGAAGTTTGCTGGAGAAGGATGTGGCATCTTTGTGTGTCTGCTGGATTCAGCTTGGATCCATCCTCTCAAAGACTGGAAGCGATTCCTCTCTTTCTGGAGAGCTTGTTTTCTTGCAGGAACAGAGATTTTCACTGGATGAATTTACCTGGCAAGGCTCTTGGTCTGCTGTATGTAAGCAGAGCATGTTCTCCTCCTGCTCAAGACATCTTCTTAGGACTCACACCCACATAGTCAGAAGTGCATGAAACTGAGTTTTCTTCACTTGACAGAAGGAAGGTTTCTTGCTGCTGACCGGAGTTATCCTCAAAAACTCAGTTTAATCCATTTCTGCCTTCATTCTTTTCCTTGGGACTGCAGATTGAAAAGGGGCAAGTTGCTCAGAGAGTGTGTCCTGACACAGAGATGTTTGTCAGCAGTGAACCCTTGCCTTGCCTCTTTGCTTTCTGCTAAAATGTGTTGCTGGCTTGGAATCACACAAGGGCTGAGTGGAAATATGTTCTACCTCTTCAGATAAATCAGCTGCAAACAGCTTTTCTCCTTTTTTACAGGCTACTCAAAGCAATGTGTGTATACTTAAAATGATAAACTTGTCAATTAGGACCAAAACAGGAAAGTATTTATTTTAAAATCATGTGGAACTACTAAATAGAATGCCAGAAGCCAGGTCCTTTGTTTAATAAGAACATATTTGGATAATTTTTAATTATGTTGTCTTTTTATGATAGAATTTGATATGATTTTTAGGAATTACATAAAAAATCCTGTCACATATTGGGGAAAGTATTTCAAGTATGTTAAACTGTAGACCAAGCTGTCAGATTCAAGGGTATGGTGTTTGAAGTAGGGTATAATTTATTTTTTTCAAACTAACCAAAGTTGCAGTAGATGCTGTTTGGATTTTACTTTTTGGAACTACTTAAACATGTTTCCTTTTTTCAGTATAAATGCTAAGCCTCCACAACTGTGTTGTTTTAAAGCACAATATGCATCTATTGTTAAAACTATGCACAATATGTTCTTCAAAGAGAATTTTTTTAAACAGGCATCATGCTGGTGAAGTGGAATACTTTTAACTTGATTTCTGTTCACTAAAATAAAGTGCCTAAATTAGAATGAATTTCTGATAACATCCGAAATTTCTGATAACATCAGAAATTTGATAACATCAGAAATTATTTTTATAAGGGAATAATAAACTTTGCTTGTAACTGACAAAATGTTTAAATAGTTTATAATCATGGAATCACAGAATGTGTTGGGTTGCTAGGGATCTTAGAGATCATCCAGTTCTAACCTCATTGCCATGGGCAGGGACTTTTCACTAGCCCAGGTTGCTTACACTACTTTATAAATAATATTTTTAAATATTTGGAATAGTTGCTTTTCGTTCTTGCTATCCTTGTCAGTTGTAAATTGTAGATTGAAACACTCACTTTTGACTACTGTTGGTATTTTTAATTTGTTTTTAATAATATAGTCACTGACTTAGGTGGAATTTCACTCACGGAGTTTTCATGGAAACCAACATGAAAACAAAATAGAAAATGGAGTAAATTTTTAAAAATCTTCTCAACCCTCAGTATTTAACAGGCAGATGTGATCCTTTTAAATCAGATCCTTTTAAATTGGTTTGCTTTCTTAGAGCTGTTGCCACAGAGCAAATTGTGAGATTCCCGTTTGGCCGCGGGGAGGTGATCTCGCACAAGCAAACGGCTGAGGCACCTCAGTAAAGTCACACTTGGTGGATTCTCTTTGCTTTTATCCTGGCCCGATGACCATAACGTGTTTGATCCTTCTTTCTTTTATCTGATTTATCTTGTCACAGGCCTGGAGAAGAAGGAGGAGGAAATAGAGCAGCTGAGGATGGATTGTGAGCACTTTAGAGCCCGTTTGGAAACAGCCCAGGCGGATTGCATGAGAGAGAAGAAGGTAGATGTGCTGCCAGAATATTGATATCTGGGTGTTTGAGTTCTAATAACAAAAGCAGAAATGAGAAAATTTTCATTTTTATGTCACAAATGAATCCTTGGTCTCAAATCTGTTTGGGATTTCTATCCAAATAGTCATCCATATCCATATTAATGTGTTGAAGTAAAACACTGGGTATTTGGGAAGATTGTGGCATAGCTAGAATTAAAAGATCCTTCACAGAATCAGTTCTTGTGAATTTAACATTGCTGTAACATATTTGCAAAGAGGACAATAGGAGATAGTTCCAGCAGTGCAATGTACAGAATGAAAGCAGCCTCTCTTGGTTTGCTGTGAGCTGTGTACCTTTGTTTAGTGTTAATAATCTTTCTCAAAGCACCTATTGATCCAATTGCCATGTACAGCTGAGAATCAAGGAGCAATTTCAGGGCTCCTCTTCCTCTGTCAATATTGTATTTAGTGATTATGAGAGGGAAGATTCTTAACAATTAAGGAATAGCAAAGACACTGACTCCTCAGTCTGTGAAGCCATTTGGGTTCAAATGATTCTCTGTGAGAATCACTGGTGATTATTTGCTGCAAAAGTTCACTTCCTTGGAGCCATCTGCATCAGTTAGCAGTTGGGGTTGTACAGCTGGCATTTGCCAGCCTTGGGATTGCACAAAGACAGATGAACCACAAAACTTACTTCATTTTTGAAAAGGAATAATGAAGAGTTCAGAAATGCACTTTCAGTACATATCTGTGTAGATGAAACACTCTGGAATGAAGTTTGGTATGGTGGAATAGTTGTCAGTCTGGATATTCCTTATTTCAAAATAACTATCTTCTGGGATCAATGTTGCAGTTCAGCAGTAGGTACAGAGTTCATTTTGCTGTGCACTGAGGTCTTCAGTTGCAGGGATAAAATTCCTGTAAAATTGAATGCTGATGCTTTAGATATTAATGAAGCAAGTCCCACCCATGCTTCTTGTTAATACTACAAATAAAGGGCAGGTGGTTTGAGTTTATGATTTCTTTAGAATGAGTTTCACTTAAAGCATGGATAGGTTAATAGGAGCAGTTGTTTTGGTGTTTCTGCTCAAAGCTCTTCTCTTCATGCCTTTGTTGTGCAGTGTGTGGCAGTTGTGATAGGGTTCTGTTAAATGCCAGGAAGGTGTATTTCAGTGGATTGTGCTCATGATGTTGTGAAGTCCTTTAGCTTTCAGGATACAACAAGATGGTGTGTGTATATGAGTGATGATTTTTTTGTTCCTGTTCTTTGTTGTGCAGTGTGTGGCAGTTGTGATAGGGTTCTGTTAAATGCCAGGAGGGTGTATTTCAGTGGATTGTGCTCATGATGTTGTGAAATCCTTTAGCTTTCAGGATACAACAAGATGATGGTGTGTGTATATGAGTGATTTTTTTGTTCCTGTTAATCACTTTTCTGGTGTTTTCTGATGTTTTCCATTTGGTTGATGTTCTGCTTTAGGCATCCTTGTGTGGAGTTTCTGAATTATTTTCTACAAATTTATCTTCTGAAGGAGAAGAAAATTACTCATTGAAACAAACATGGAAAAATGCATTTCTGGTTGAGCAGTGTCCTTTTCTGAGGCCATCATAAATCAACATTTTGCATTCCAAATTCTCTATGAAGAGCTGTGTCACTGATTAGGGAATTGCTGTGCTTTCTGAACCTGAGCAAAACTTGAAGTGCAGATGTTATTCTTGGCTGATGTCTCCTTTGTCTGTCTTTTTGCAGTTCCATACTTGGGCACTGCTGTATTCTTGTGCCTTGACCTTTTCCTGAAGATGGTGGTGTTGCATAGCACAGGGATTGTTGATGATGTGAGCCCTTAGGAGTGTTGCTTCCAGCCAGGTTATTTGCTTTTGCAGGCTCCATTTATTTTTCTGGCTCTTGCATGTACTATTTTGTTTTCCTTGCCTCACATCTTTGTTCTGATGTTGCTTTTGATCTATTAAAAATGCTGGCATTTTTTTTTCTGCTGGCTTTGCATGCTTTTGGGGGGTCTAGATTTGGTATTACTGGGTTTTATGTCTTACTCAGTATTAGCATCCAAATGCAAATAAAATGTATTAAAGATACATTTCCCTAAGACTAGGACAGTGTGGAAAAGACAGGGAGAATATAGGGATTAGGCAGGAAGATGCCTGAGGACATTTTGTGGATGCACAGGGTGGCAGAAAAGCTGATAGGCCTGGCAGTGAGTCATGTAAAAGATGAAATTTGGCTAATTTGCTTAAAAGTGATCAAAGTATTAAGAAATAAGAGACTTTTCCTGGGAGTTTCTGCCTATGGAATCAGCAGCAAGTGTCAGTCTTTTGCCTATGTAGGTGAGAGAGACTCCAGAGAGTAAATACACACAAAAGTCTGCTTGAGAAATTAAACTTGAACTTTACAAATCCTCACCTGCATGTTCCAGCAGCAGCAGTGCAAATCAGGTGTGATCAGGAGGTAGGGAGGTAATTGGTGACAGAGCACACACAGCTCTGTACTGTTTGATAACATATTATGTAAATTTTCAGAAGAATTTACATTTCTATTCTTTACAAACCCTCAACATGAAGCGTTGAGGTGAACCCCAAAACCAACAAGATACTTAAAGTCTTGATGACAATACATGATTGAAAGTCTTGTTCTGTTCAGCTGCTTTCAAAATTGACATAGAACAGATTCCTTCTCATTTCCCCATACTTTTCCTGACAGCCAAGCACACTGGGCAGGCTGAGCTGAGGAAGGTGTTTTCTGGAGTGAATTTGAAAATACCATGGCTGTAAAATGGGCAGAGTAAGATCCTTCTGTTTTTTGACATTGTGCAATCTGTGATTCTCTCTTTTAATACTTGAATTAGCATAATTTTTCTGGACTGGTCTTGATCTTTCCCTGCAGCACTAATACCACCTTGTCTGGAGTTAGCTGGGAGCCCCCATCCCCCCTGAGACACAGACTGCAGAATCCCTGCCTTGATCCCCCTGTCTGTGCTGGCTCTAAACCAAGAAGTGCAGCAGCTTTGCCACTCCTGTGGCAGCTGGTAGGAAGCCAGTGAGACCTAGAGTCCTGTCCAAATCCATGATAATTCTTCCAGCCAGCTTCCCATGTGATTGGAGAAAATACTGCCAAATGGAGGTTGTGCTCTGGTTCTGTAGGGTTGATCTGTTCTCTCTTTATGCTTTGTGGCAAGAACCACTTAGCATCTCACTTAAATGGTCATAGAATTGTTGTGTTACAGAATAGTTTGGGTTGGAAGGGATTTTGGAGTTGTGTTACCTCATTCCAGCCCCACTGCTGTGGGCAGGGACAACTTTCACTAGACCAGGTTGTTCAGAATCTCATGGATGCACAGCAGTGCCTCAGCTTTCTTGCAATGGAAGAAATCTTCTCAATCCTCAGTATTTAACAGCAGAATCTTGGGATGGCACATAACCAAACTTAATCCAAACTTCAAACCTTAGGTGTGTGTTTTGGGACTCTGTCTTGCTTTACCACTAGGACTATGCCAACAGAAAAGAGCTGGAAGAGACAAGAATATTTATCCTAGATATCCAGCAACTGTTCCACTTTGGCTAGAACAGAAGCCTGTTTTGAAAAACAAAACAACCCTCCCCTCCTGTAAGATGTTTCCTGTATCTTTTGGAAGGTGTCAGGGAAGGCTGGCCCCTGATGCTGAAATCCCCTCTCTCCTGAAGAGACGTGGAGCTGTTTGCTCAGGGGGAGATGTCTCCTGCCAGGCTTCTCTGGGTGCCACTGAGTCTCAGTGGGTCACTTGGTTTGACCTTGTGGACAGTTTCTGGTTCCTGTCAGCCTGCACCACTTAGAGGCAGCTCAGGAGAGAAGGAATGTGTCTGCAACTGCTCTGGGTTACCCTCCCTTTTCAGAGATGGCCATGATTGTCTTTCTTGTTCTGTCCCTTAGCCTAGAAACTTGGTGTGGCAGACGTGAAGTGCAACCAAAATTTCCTTACGCTGTTCCAGGAGAAACTGGACCTGCGGCAGCAGCTGAATGAGGCCAAGCAGCAGCTCCTGCAGCAGGCAGAGTATTGCACAGAGATGGGAGCAGCAGTGTGCACCTTGCTCTGGGGGGTGTCCAGCAATGAGGAGGCTGTGAAGTCCATTCTAGGAGGAGTAAGTATGGCAGGTGAATACTGACTCCTGGGAATGCCCTCAGACCTTTAAAACAAGGATCTTTAAAATAAGGGCCTTGCTGTGGAACACACTTTAAGGATGTGTTTCAGAAACTGACTGGACAGCAAAAATGTTTTCTGGTTTGCATGTTCTTTGGGAACCATCCATTCTGGTTTAAAAAGGGTTGGAGCTGTGAAGTGTTAGGAATAAATGCAGTAATTATTTCTTTTGTTAACAAATGAGGGTGATCTGTTTTCCACCACACACACCTGGAAGCAAGGCTATGGTTAGCAGAGTGTAAATATCTTCACAAGCTAACAGAAGGAGAGAATAGTTCCTGGGCACATGCAGGAGTTTCCATGCCTGTGGAGAGCTTGGAGGAGCTATTTCCATGGAGAAAAGACAGATCCATTGATTCTCAACTTCTTTAAATCTTTCTGCTGCCTTAGTAGATGAATGACTCTTGGAAATTGAGATCCTCACTGCTCGTGGGTCGTATTAAATCATCAATATTAAACATGGGCAAGTCGACTATTAAAAAAAAACCCCAATAACACCCCAGAACAACAACAGTTAATGACAATGGCGTTACTGCAGCTATCACAATTTCACTGCCAAGTGCAGCTGATGGAATTAGGAGGGACTAAGGAAAGAAGCCTGATAAAAATATGATTTTCATTCTTGACACGGCCAACATGAGAAGAAATTGCTGTATTAAATCTTGAGTGAACTGATGCCACAGTTTCTTTTGGCTTGATTTTTCAGCAGCAGGATGAGCAGCTGAGTGAATAGGATTAGTTCATTTTAGTAAGTGGTAAACCAATGTGTTTGTAAGAGTTGTTCTAGTTGGGTGTTCCAAAATACAATTAAAACTTTATATTGGATATTAGAGAGCTGCACAGTGATGCCTTATTAATGATAACTTCTGATTCCAAATCCAAGCAGCACTTACTAGGAAAAACATCTGTAAAACACTGTATAAAGCAGTTAGAATTTAAAGAACAAGGCTGGTTGTTGAAAGCAGTCTTAAGTATTAATATTCAGTTGGATTAGTTAAAAACAAAACTGTTGCCTGAGGATTTGTTTGAAGGTAAAAAACCCAACTGTTTGGGGGTGAGGTTGGTTTGAAATGCAAAATACTTCTCCTAGTCATTTCCAGCAATCATTAAAGCCTGTTGAACTGCTGTATTTCTGGTGAAGATCAGAAGAACATTTGGAGGCATCATTTTCTTGGGATGGTGCACATAACACCGTAAGAAACGTGCCTGGGCTTGGAACAAAACTCCTAGGAAAAGCATAAATGGATTGTGTGGCATTGTGTCAACCACAGATTGCAACTGGCAGTGAGTCAGGTCATTAAAAGATGATGGAGATTTGTCATACAACATATTTGGTTTGGGTTATTTTGGGACAAGTTGTACAGCTTGTAGCTTCTTCCCTCCTCCCCTGAGAAGGTGCTGTGAACTACGCAAATGCATGAGAACATCAAGGGTGCTTTGAAACTGTTGCTGATATTTAAGCACATGGGGAAGGTGGCATCAATTCAGAATCATGTCATGCCTTACAGAAGAATGCCCAAGCTTTTTTCAGCCTTTGAAGCAATACAGAAGTAGGTCTTTCTTCCAGTCCTGTAATGCAAATGGACTGAAATGATGTTAGTGACCAATATTGTTTTGTGTCCATAAGGGTTGGGAAAATCAGAGCTTAAGCAGCAGATTTTAAATGTGACACAGGTAGCTCTCAAGGCAGCGGGGGGAGATGCCTGCTGGTTTTGCCCATGTTCTTAGAGAGAATTTGAAGAGACATCCAGAAAAGCACCATGAGAGAGTTTTCAAGGTTTCCTACCTGCATGTACCAAAAAAAAGAAGTACATTAATTTCCATGAGATTGTTTTGGATGTCTTTCAAAAAGCTTCAGCCAGATATGACAGGCTTCTCACATGGAAATACAACCTGGAGGTTTGATTTCAGAACAGCATCAAGGCTTGCTTCAACTTGAGAAATTTTGGATCCTACAAGGTGTTTCGCTACTTCAGTTGTCTGATATGGTGACAAACTACTTTATATTTTGTGGCAGCAATTTTTCATGTTACCTGGAGCTTTCACAGAGGAGTTCCACAGACAGCAGAGGGTTCATGGAACCATCTGAGCTCAAGCACCTCAATGGCTGCTCTCAGAATCATCCTTATCTCAATGTGTGTGGGTGAGACATTCTTCAGTCCCATAAAAATGCCATCAGGTTAATAAGGGACTGTGCAGAGTGTGCAGTGTTTGCTATTTATAAACCTGATGGGTCTCTGCTGGAGCTCAGCACTAGTTAAGTAGTGGCTGTGTGGAAAGGAGGATCAGGAGAGAGCACCAGTGAAACCTCCAGAGGTTGGCAGATAGAAGATTTATCTTGTTTTCTGTGCAACATACCAACTACTCAGGGTGCTTAGTGCCCTCATGTTCCCATGTGAATGTGTATTTTCATAATGACTTGTTGGGCTCTTCATTTTCTCTCACACCCTCTTGCTTCTTGAGCTATAGTCAGTGCTTCTGTTAAAAATGCTATCTTTGAGGAGTGGTGTCCCTATAAAAACTACATCCAGGACATGCAGAATTGCACTGACCTTTCTCCTCTTTCTCCATGATGCCTTCATTCCTGTTGTTCTGGGGCCACAGCATCATTTATGAAGATACTGTGTTGACTGAGCCTGCTTTTTGTCCCCCCTTGCTGAAGTCACCCCACAAGAACAGTACATCTTTAATATGGTGAATGTGCAGCAGTGGAGGAATAAATAGATGTTACCACTAGCTTTGCACATACTGTCAAAGCAGTAATTTTGCAAAAGTATGAAGATTTTCAGTCACTTCACAAAATGAATAAAAGTTCAGGCATTTCTTGAACTCTCCCATTGGGTCACTGCTGGGAATGACTAAAAGTTTCATCTGCTTCATGAAACAACTGGAAAAATTATTAAAGACACTGGGAAACCCAGCATTATGGGCTTTCTGCCACATGATTTTGGTTATGAAAGCCTCCATCCTCTGTGTGAGATAGAGTTCCAGCAGTGTTTTACTAGTCAGAATTACCAGTAAACAGAAACAGGTCTCTCCATCCTTCTTTGTGGACTCTGCACCTCAGGCCAGGCTCTTTGACCTGAGCTTTGTAGCAGGTGGTGCTCCCTCAGCTGAGATACCTCCAGATGGAGCAGGATTGCAGCTGAGGGGAAAAGACTGTCCCAAATTACAGCTGTGCTCCTTTCATGTGCTCTGCTGTTAATTTGCTATAATCATTTTTTCTCACATGACGTGGTTGACTTAAGTGACACTTGTGACCCAGGAGAGACCTCCATTTCCTTTTCCAAAGAACTTCTGCATAGCCTGTTACTATTATTGAGCAATTAATGAGTCCTATTAGAATCCATTTGAATCCTGCTTTTTTTTTTTTTCTGGGGACTTTATTGTTTTCTTAGGAATTTCATGTTAAGTTTACAATCTTCAGCTGATTTTGACAAAAGCTACTGCAGGAGGCCAGGTGAATGTGAAACATCTGGTGCAATTACTCCAAAACAAAGACATAACATTTTTACTTCTGATAATAAGCTTTCATTTTGCTGGTTGATTCTATATTATTGTGTGCTTAGGAGGTAGACATGCAATAGTTCAGTTTTATGAGTAAATGTGGCCTTGAGTGGTTTCCTGTTTTCTTCTAAGGTAATGATTTCAAACATTAGGGGATCAAACATGTCACTCAGTGAATACATAGTATTTTCTGTTGTTTATTTGAAGTAACTGTATGTTTTAATAATTTGGAAGATTGACCAGCTTTACTGCAGCATCTAATAATTATAGTTGCTGTAGTCTGTGTAATCTTTCTTCTCCTCCTTGCTTGCAGAGTAAAGCAGTAAAATTTTTCACAATCACTGCCCAGACCATGGAGAGCTTTGTAAAGTCATTAAGTGAAGACATGAAACAGCAGGATTTGGATTCTGAAGAAAATCAGTTTGTATTAGCTTTGGCAGGGATTGTAACAAGTAAGTTAATGTTGTGTCTCAGAATAGCATTCCACACCTACTGGGAATGTGTACTGCCTCATAGGAGCTGCTGTAAATGCAACTTTTCAAAGTTTAGTTGTCACTGTTGATATCTTGAGTGACTTTCTGGTTTTCTAAAGTTCTAGCAAATTTTGTTACTGACTCTTCTGTTACAAGCACTTCTGTGCTGCCTGTGACATTGTTAAGGATTAGATGAGTAAGAGCCACTGAGTTCTGAAATTCCCTATGGCATCCCTCAGCCTGGAGTGAAACAAGGACCATTGTACCAGTTTTGTATGCTCCCATTAGTTTGTACACATTGAGCAGTTTGCTTTGGGAATCACCAGTGGTGTGAACATCTACAGCATTACAAATTACAGATGGTGCAAGTAGATCAGCCCCAGCTTAAGGCGTGGACTAAGGATTCTGAAAGTGCTTAAAAATTTTGCTAGTCAGGTACACCACACTTTCACTGTATAAGAGAAGTAGAAAGTTATAAACCTGACTTCCATGCTAAGTATTTTTTTTTAGGTCCAGAAAATAAGTAAAAAGCCACATATCTGTTGTAGAATGATTGTGCTTGGTTTGGGAGGCTGTGAGGCTGAAACATCATCTGATTTTCTGTGAAACTGTAGCTATTAAAATTATACTAAAGACAGGATGCAAGATAGACAAAGTGGTGGATATTGGTATAAATAAGTGATTCTTGAATGAACAGCTTTTCTGAATGTGGGATTTTTAGATGTTGGGATGTCAATAAAGATAAAACAATAAAATTATGATGTGATGCGTTATGCCACTCTACTGAGTAGGGGGCAAGTATTGGGGAAAATAATAAAGGAAAGTCTGCTTTGGAACAGTAGCCTTTGCAGATAATTTTGTCTTTTGGTTTGTGGTTGAATAATGCCACACTTGCAGAGAGGTAGGAAAAAGACTTGTGTTGAGTTTTGGTTGTGTAATGTGCCAGGTGTATTGAATTGGGTGGTTGTAAAACTCTGCAACCCTGTTCCCTTAAAGTGGAACCTATAATGATCAGCTTTGTTGCAGTCACCCATTACCTATGGATGAATAGAGCCTTTTGTTTCACAATTTACTGTGTTGCTGTTGGGACACTGGACATTCTGAATAAATGCTCTGTTTACCAGTGCAGAATTTTGAAGGAGCTTGACCAGTGTTTGTTGTTCATTATTTGCTATATAGGTGAATGTAGACTGAAATTTATATCAATGCCATAGTTCATTCTTCACAGCAGACCAGTCTTTTTAGTGGTCCTGATAATTAGCAGAAACTTTTGTTTGAAACATGATTGTTGGTGATGTTTTGGGCTTTCCCACAGATGTGGCTGCGCTGGCGTGTGGCCGTGAGTTCCTGGTCAGTTCCAGTCGGGAGTTACTGGACACGATGATGCATCTCCTGGGAGACATGAAGCCAGGACTCTGTAACAAATTTAAAGTGTATGTTGATTTTTCTTACCCATTTCAAATGCATTATCTTGCAGTGCAGCTCAAGTAATGACAGTAGTTTTCCCACTCTCCCGTTATTCCTTTTCTGGAGAGGAAACATAATTTTTGGAAGCTCTTTTCCCAGTAGCTTTCCTTGCAGATATACTGGGGTTGACTACAAAGCTTTATCCAGGTTTTGTGTCTCTTGGGAAGTCTCTTAAGCACCATAAAGGTGAGCAGGGGTGCCCTCTTCTAACTTGGGAGGGAGTCATGAGTTTAGTGTGAAATAAAGAAGGTGTGGGGTCAAGTTTTACAACAGAGAAGATGTTGGAAATGTGAGCTCATTTTTATTCCCTCCTAATATGAAGTTTAAAATGTCACACGTCCTTAGTGAAGAAAGTGAGTTATGGAGCTGCTAAGAGCAAAAATTAAATCATTTTAGGCTCTTTAGCAGCCAGACTCACCACACACTTCAGTTTGTAAGAGGCAATGCCTGTAAAGTGACCTTGCAATACAGCTCTAAAGGCAAGGCACTGTTGCACAGTTCAGCTGCTACAAAAGTACTTTTCAGCTGATGGAGAGATTAAATAAACAATTGTCTTTGCCTTTTTCTCCAAGACCTTACAAGCTGAGGATATATGGCCTTGGCTGAGCAAATTACTGTGGCTTAACAAGTGGCTGAACTGTGGGCACTGGTCCTGTACACCTGATTCATTTGTTCATGAGGGTGGTTTGAGCCACTGTGATGGTTTTTTCATAAATACACAAACAATTCATACCCCAGGCAGCTGTCCCAGCTCAGCTGACAAACAGCAGCCCTGTCAGCTACAGTAACTTGACCACATCCAGGCACACATTTAGGCAGGTTGGATGTGACAGTCATGAAATCAGGCTGGGCCTCACTTTGGAGAGGTTTTATCTTGCCCAGCCCCAGTGTCAGAGAGGGGGATGTCAGGCATTTGCTGACTGCCTGGGCTCCTTCCCACACTCACTGGGAGGAGATGGTGCTGTCAGGTGATTGCCCATGTGAGGGGGAGCAAGGTGCCCTCTGAAGGTGTTTGCCTTTCCCTGTTGGGTGTGAGGGGAAAGCTGAACAGCCTGTGCTGTAGATAGTGGCTTGGTGATTTGAGATCAGTTATTTACTCTGTTTCCCAAGCACTGGGCTTGAAGGGCAGTGGTAGGGGTTTTTTGAGAACATCCCAGCTGAAAGAATTGTATGAGAATCTCAGTTTATTAAATAAAAGGTAATTTGTGCCTTCCTGTGTATAAAAAGATCAAACCAAGCAACCAAAACCAAAAAACAACCCTGAAAAGAGGATCCATACTGTTTCAGAATCTGTGAATGGGGGAAAAATAGAAGAGGATTTTGAGAGGAGGAGGCAAGATGCTCCTACACACACACTCTGAATTTCAGGTGGATATGTGTTTATGGATCCAGATAAACTCTTTTTGATCACTTCATATTGTATTAATGTAATTGGATTTGAGGGCCTTTCTTTTGAGTTTATATCTTGGATTGCTTGTTATTATACTTCAAAATCTGCCTGCTTTGCAGAAGAATTACCCACAGTGTTGTAAACTTGGCTGCCAGTACAGCACTGCTGGTAAAATATTCATAGAACAATCCCATGAGGTGGCAAGGAATTCAACAGGGGCCAGCTTGGTAGGCTAACAAATGGAGGGAAGCTTGGAAAAGAGCTTGCTCAAGGTGGTTGATAAGTGAGAAATATTAAGCATATGTTACAATAGCTTGAATGCAGTGCAGTGATGATATTTCTGATCCCCACAGAACCAACTTTTTTTTCCTTACTCTGAACTTGCCATTGGATTTTTAAAAATGCTGTATTCTTTCATTAGAACAAATGCCAGAAAGGACATTTCTTCATGGCCTTGTCAGAGAATGAGGGAGCCTGATTTGCTCAAATGTTTTAGTGCAAAATGTTTCCCTGTGTTTGTCTTTCATGTCCATAATTTTAAAAAAGCCCTTTTTTATGAGCTCTGTATGTGTCTTGTCACTGTTGAGTTTGAAAAACCTGTTCCTAACTAACAATATATTTTTTCCTATCCCTTTGGGGAGTTTTACAGTTTCCCAGCCCAGAAAAAAAAGGGTTTTGGGGGGTTGGTTGATTTGTTTTTAAATTGTTCTTTGCATGTAAGGCTTTTTAGCTGCTGGTTAACCTTAATCAGCATTTTCATAAGCAGATGTGTCAGAAGAACTCCCTTTTCTTCTCCCATAGGGAGCATAAGCCAGGACAAAATGAAAGACAACTGTGAGACTAGGAGATGAAGGTTGCCATAAATTCTAGTGCAATTTCAAAGTTAGGTGAAGATGGAATCTGCAGTCATCATAAATAATGTTTCCACATACATTTATATACATATTCATACAGACAGATACATTTTTAAAACTACACCTCAGAGATGAAAATGTCTGTTCATTATTCTGGAAATGCAATGTATTTTTCTTAAAGTATCACTATGGTGTTGCATGGGAAGACATCAACTTATAATCCAATCAGTTGAAGAAAAAATTTGGCTTTTAATTTTAAATGCTGTGGTTGTCTTTTGCTTAGTTCTGAGGATTTATGATTATTTTCTAGCTTTTATTTTCAAAAATATTTTTCATTGCTGTGTGACAAATCAAGGGGCCAGTTGTACACACAGCAGTATCAAAGTAAGCTGATAAAGAGAGGAGTTCTCTTTTCTTGTTCTAGCAATCCTGTGTTCTATTTGGATGAATATATAAACAAAAAAATTACAGGGAGAACCTGTTGCTTACTCCAAAATTGCTGTGATATCCACTGTAGTCTGTGAGGATGGAATAAATATACCCCAGGCATCAACCTGAGTGCTGAGACTGAAATCTCAGGGGTGTCCTTGCCTTTCTGAAATAGCAGATGGGAAAGACTTCAGGTTTTCTTCTCATTGGTGTTGGGTTTGTTCAAGCTTTGTAATTGTTACACAGTCAATAAACATTTACATAATTGTTTGTAGCTGTAATTAAATGGGTAAGAACATTTAACTTTGCTTTTGTGACAGTTGAAAGTAGCCAGTAAAGAGACATATTTAAACATAATAGTACATTTTATATACTAATCCCATGTATTAACAAGACAAGAAGGGGCTTTAGCTGTGCATTTAGTTCTAGATATTAAAGAAAGCATTGATAGATACAGTAGTACAAGATGTTAATTAAATTTGGCTTGTCTGAGATTATGAAATGCATAATTAAGACTCACTCCATATTTTGTAAAAAAACCACCAGAAAGTATTGTTTATCCAGTAATCATTTGTGTTCAGGTTTGCTTCAATAAGCACTTTTGCAATTATTATTGCAAAAAATATTTACTAAAATGTGCTGATTCTGGAGGTGAAGGTGGTTATAAAGGGCCTGGAAGTGCTTCTCTGTTGTGCCTAGGTGAGTGTGTTTAATTAAATATGCTGTTACATATTAATATGCCACTGCATTGGCTTGTGGGGTGTTCCAGCACTCCAAAAACCTCAGCACTTCCCTGGATAACCAGCACCAGTCCCTTTTGTCTGCACAAAGCAAACAAGTGAAATAAAAATACAAACACAGCAGCGCCTTTTTACGTCACTTTATTTCTAACTGCAAATGTCAAACAGATTAAGGGTAAAAGACATTCTCAAGAAATGTTAACATTGCCATTATAAGATGATGGTTTATTGATCATTTCCATTCTGGCTGATTATAGGTTGTGCTGTGCTCTTTTGTCAGGGCTTGTTCTGGAAGCCCAGAGCTGCAGGGGCTGGATGAAGAGCAATGTATGGCCTTTACCAGCTGCAATTTGAGATCCAGAGCACCTCTCCCTGCTTGACAGTGGCCACTGCTGCAGTAGATTTAATAAATCTGCTCTTCCTTCTTTCTCCTCCTTAATAATCAAACTCAGAGCACATAATTGATACCTCTTAAAACTCAGTTTAGCCTGCAGTGGGTCACTGCCTTTTCTGCTTTCTGAAGGTGTCCACAGAGTGTCCAAAAGTCTGCTGAGGGCACAGGAGCTTAAGCCATGAGACCTTGTTTGAGAATTGGATGTGAGGTGTGAAGCTCCATTTGGAATTATCATTTCCCTTTTGTTTGGACATGGTGGCAGTGCAGTGACACACAGGCATGAGAGAGAGCAGTAGCCAAGCTGGCTCCAGAACAGAGAACATTCCAGCCCCTCCCTGAGACCTTCTTACTCTTTTCCACGTGTTTGGCATATGTGATTTAACAGTAGAAACAAAGGTTTGCACAACATTGCTTATATATAATTTGAGATTTATTTCTGTTACCAAAATAGAAATTATTAGCACAGGCTTCTGCATTGGTACATGCTTGACACAAATGGCAAAAGGTGCTGAAGCATGCAAGGAAATCAAAGGCCCTCAGATGTCCTTTCTTTCAATTCTAGGCTAATGCTAATGTCACTTTACAATGTGAGTATCAACTTGAAAGGCTTGAAGTACATCAGTGAAAATCCAGGTTTTATTCCCCTGCTTTGGTGGCTGTTGAATGGTAAGTTGCTCTAAGAACCTTGTAAACTGTGAGTTTCAGGATTTTGTAGACTTGTAATAGATTTTGCAAATAACAAACCAGAAATTTATATCTGTCATCTGATTAGTTTTTGACAAAATAAAAGTAAACATACAGGGCAAATAGCTGGAGGGAGATGTGCATTTCCCACAAAATTATTGACACTGTATGTAATATTCCATTAATGTGAAGTTTAAGGCTTGTAGGTTTAAGAAGAGGAAATGGAGAAATTTGATGAAGTGGTTTAAAAAAAAAGCCACTTGCTTCTTGATACCAACTTTAAAATACACCTTAAGGGGAAACTACTTATCAGTTCACTATGATTAACACAGGGAAATGTGCACATCTGGGGGGAAGCAGCCAGGTCTGTAACTTCACTGACCCATTGCAAAAGTGTCTCTGAAGAGAGGCCCTGTGCTCTGATAGGATTTGGGGCTCCAGGGCTGGAGGGCTCCCAGCTATGCCTTTGGCCAGTGCAGGACTCCAAGGACGTCAAGGACTTGTGTTGTCACTGTCAGGTGCACGAGTGACATCAAGGCTCTGCTCTTTGGGAGGCTCCAAATCCCTGAGCAGGAGCCAGCAGGGATTGACGTTGGACTGGGCTGGCAGCTGCGTGCACAGCTCGGGAGGGACAGCAGGGGGACAGAGCTGTGACACTGCCCTGCCTGTGCTTCCTCTAGATTTATGAGGAGATTTGGGTGTGCAGACAGGACTGGGGAGGTTAATTATCCCTCTGTGCTGCTAAAACTTTGCTGGAGTACGACTGGTAAATACTTGGAGCAGCTGAAATGAGGGAGATTGCATCTGCTTTTTCCAGACGTTATTTTGATGCTGAGTTTTTGAAAAAGCTGTGGTTAGGTTTGGTTAAACTGAAAGCTATTTGTATAGTTTATGGTTCCCTTAACTATTTTACAGAAAATGTAGCTGCTCAAGCTTTTCATCAAATAATTTCCTGCTGTGAAATGCCACAGGCTCTCTCTTCCAAGGTCTCAGGAAATTAAGTAATCCTTGTAAGGGAAAATACCATTTCTATAGGAGTTTTTAATATATTTTGGTAAAAATGGGATCCTCAGAGAACATCAAATACATGATCCTTTGTTCAGCTGTGCTTTGAAATTTTACATGTCTTTGTCCAGGTTTACCTTTTAATTTATGTTGGCTAATATATACATAAGCTGTTCTAGCAAAAAATACCAACCCAAAACACCCTCAAAGAATCCTGTCTGGCTGTGAGTTCCCAAATATGCCCTTCCAATTGTTGTGATAAAACAAAAAAAGGTAATAACTTGATGCAGTATGTTGTCCAAAAAAGGCTCCTAGGTCAAGTAAGAGGATGAAATGGGAAACATTAATAATTAATTTGCAGCTACTAATGGAAATAATAAATGGAAAGGCTACTCTGCAATTTGGAAGTGCTAATTGCTTATGGCTGGGTTGTAGAAAGAAGGATGATCATGTCTAATTCCTTGACTTTTTGATAATAAACTTCTCCAGTTACAGCAAGGGAGGAAGATTCTCAGACAAAGCAGTTCTGCAGGTTCAGATTCCTGACTTTGGGGGAAGTCTGCTTTCTGTCAAGGGAGAGCTGCCAGGTTTGGATATCAGATAAGAGGTCAGATCCAAGACCTGATCTTGTTCCCATCATTTTGTGTGAGATCTCTGCAGTTTTCCAACATTTAATCTATTTCTAAATGTCTCTGCTTGGAAAATTCAGCAGCTTCCTCCCATTCTTGCTCCTCTCCTATTTCCCTGACCAGCATCTTCAGGTTCTGCTAGCCAAGATCCAGCTCATAAACACCTGGAGCTGCTACAGTATAAGGTCCTGTTTTTCCATGCAGGAGAGTAGAGCACTACCCTGTGCTGGCAGAGAATCCTGGATGTGCTGCCTGCCTGCAGGAAGCTTCTTCAAAGCCTGTTTTGATTAAGGCTTATGACATGACAGCTTTCCAGTTTTGTATGCTTTTGTCACCATTCCCACTAAGAGAGGCCCCAGAAATCATCCTCTGATTTTTTTTTTCAGAGAATCATCCTGTTTGCCTTTCCATTGTCAAGCTCCAAATGTCCATTACCTCAACCTGTACACCAGGCCCATCTTTCTCCCACTGCCTTGTATGCAGCTGATAACTCCCTCAAATTCCTTCTCTGAGTTCTTGGTCTCTGCCTATCCTTGTCCCCTGAAGAAGAATGTCCTTCCCATTAAATGAAGAGAGGAAAAAAACTGACTCGATTTTCTTTATTTCCCTTTGTTGTATCTGAAGCAAAGAGGGATTTGATTCAAGTTGTCTCACAGCATTTTTGAAGAGACAGAAATGTGCCTCAATGTTGAATACACCAATTGGAAGAGAAAAAAAGGGAAAAAATCTAATAAAGATTCCTAATGGAGTAAGAATGTTAACAGCAAACTGTCCTACTGTCTTTGGGAAACTTGGATGAGCTGGTTTGACTTCATGTTCACTAACAAGAATTCTTAATAGCTCTTTCTGCTGGAAAATATCATAGGAGAAAACCAAATGTTTCTACTGATACAGGAGAAAACCAAATGTTTGACACAATGTTTGAAGACAATGCAGGTAGTTTTCTCACTTCATAAGGTGGGCTTTTTCTTCCTTTTTTTCTGCCTTTGTAAAACTTTCTGAAAGATGGACACCCTTTAATAACCAACGCTGCTCACTGAATCCTCTGTGTAGGTATCAGCTGTGCCTGCCTACACCTTCCCAGCCTGGCACCAGCATAAAGCACATGAATGATGACTCAGATTTCTGTCCATGGAGCAGCTTGTGGGATCAGTAGAGTTCTCCTCTTGTGGAGCACCATTTGTTTGCAGAGCAGCTGTTCCCATCTTGGACAAAACAGGCAGCTTTAGTTTCCTCCATCAGCTGCTGTCCTTGTGGTGGTGTCCTGGCTGAGGGTTTCACATAACTTTCAGATTTAAAGAAGCCCTGTCCTCAGCCACAGAAAAAGAAGTCTGTATCATATTGGGTAGAAATCCACCTGAGATTTGTCAGTATTTTTTTTTCTGCTGATTTCCATCTAAAGCTGCAATAAGACCTCCATTCTGTAACTCTCAAAGAAGTGAATTACTCAAGGATTTCTTGAAGAATAAGAAATAACAATCAGCTCAGATATTAATAATAAAGACTAAATGTAATGTTTTTTGGTTTTGATCATGCAGAACATCTGCCAGCAAATGAGTGCTGGAGAAAAGGAGTCTAGGCTCTTCTCTGCTTTCTGTTTGGTTGAGGTTTTTTGATTGGTTGGGGTTTTTTAACACTGTATGTCTTCATTTTAGTTTTTTTGCCCACTTTCCTTTTCTTTGAATGCAGGCAGTTTAAAAAATTTGTCTCTTTGGATACTTGAGAAAGCATGGAATTCAGAGACACTTTGTCAGTGACATTTCTTGTGCATAGCTGGGAAATTGCTCCAGGTACTTCATTAAACAAAACACAAAAAGAGAAATAGGACTAATTTTAGATCTTGCCCTTCAGTTTCCTCCACCACAGTTCCATGTGGAAATCCAGCCTTGTTTATCCAAATTCTTTGCAAATGATGGTCTCTATTAGAAATGCTTTTATGAAGCACATTCTCACTCTGCTGCCTGCACCCTCAATATTTGCTTTTCATTACCAACTATGAAGGTTTTCTGTCTGATTTCGTTATGGCTGCGAGAGCTTTTGAAATTTCAGGTTATTTACATGGCAGCATGTTATTTAAAAAACATCTGGACAAATAGAACCATCATATTTATAAACTGATGTCTGTATTAAAACAAATTTTGGGTTATAAATCAAAACCAGTTATTCAAGTGCTCAGCAATTTCATCCTCTTGTCATAGAACCATAGAATATGCTGAGTTGGAAGGGACCCATCAGGATCATTGAGTCCAACTCCTGACCCCACAAAACATCTCAAGAATCCCACCATGTGCCTGGGAATGTTGTCCAAATGCTCCTTGAACTCTGGCAGGCTTGGGGCTGTGACAACTTCCCCGTGGAGCTTATTCTAGTGCCCATCCACCCTCTGGCTGAAAAACCTTCTGATATCCAGCCTAAACTGCCCCTGATTCATCCTCATGCTGTTCTGCAGATGATGGAATTAATCTTAAGGGGAGCATTGCCCTTTCAGAGCACATCCATTTGGGTGAGTGCAGGGATGTCAGCTCTGACGCAGTGTTCCCTGAGCCTCAGTTATCTGGGAGGCTGGAAGAGTGGCCAGGGCAAGTCTGATGGAATGCCTGCCCTTTTCCATACTCAGCTGCTTGCCCAGATGGAGCTCTGGGCTGTCCTTGCCATCTGAGCAGGAGCTTCTTGACAGGGTCCTTGCCCTGCCTAACAGCTCGTGGAGATTGATGTTCTGTGAGGAGCACTGTTACCCACCAGCCACAGAGCTCTGTGCAGACTCCTCTTCACTCTCATCCCCTGAGTAGAGGCCAGGCAAATTGGGACTGAATTGCTGCTTCAGTTTGGATCCTGGGAGTCTCTCTCAAGGATTTCCCTGATAAAAGCATGACAAATATATCTCTGTAGGAGATGGGGAATTCTCCTTAGCTGAACTCCCTGTGGGAGCAGCCACCCAGCCAGGGAAGAGAGTGACAGGAACCCAGCTGTAACTCAGGAGCTGGGGCAAAAATTTTGCAGAGAGAAAGTGCATTTGTGTCTATAAGAATTGCAGCAGCAAAGCTTGGTCCTTTTTTTCCTACTTTGGTGTTCTCCCTGCTCCCTCCTCAGAGCATCTTTACCACAACATTTCTTGTCTCCTCAGACCTATCAACAGCATAGAAATGTCTGGAAAACTGCTGCTGCAGATGCTGCCTCAGCCCTGCCAGCACTGGCAATGCAAAGAGATCTTCCTCGGGGGAAGCCATGGCCGTGGCCGTCTCTGTTGGATGTGTTGTGAACACAGAGAGTCTGACAGGCTCATTACAAGGAAAGGCTGAGAGGCAGATTGCTCCTTCCTGCTGGAATCAGACAGGAATTGAATTGAATCATATCTGCAGCAGTGGTGGGAAGCTTTTGAAATTGTGAAGTCATAGAATGCTTTAAATTGGAAGGGATCTTAAAGAGCATCTCATTCCAACCCCCCTGCTGTGAGCAGGGACATCTTTCCACTAGACCAAGTTGCTCAGAAGTGCATCCAACCTGAATGTGAACACTTTAGCAGGGATAAGGTATCCACAGCTTCTCTGGCCAACCTGTGCCAGTAACTTATCACACACATAGTGAGGAATTTCTTCGTAATATTTAATCTAACCAGCCCCTCTTGCAGTTTAAAGCCATTGCCCCTTGTCCTGTCACAACATTCTCTTGTACAAAGTCCTTCTCCAGGTCTCTTTTAGGCACTGGAAGCTACTTTAGGCACTGGAAGCGGCTCTAAGGTGCCTCTGAAGCCTTCTCCAGGCTGAACAGCCCCAACTCTCTCAGCCTGTCTCCATAGCAGAGGTGCTCCTGCCCTCTGACCATCCTTATGTCCCTCCTCTGGACTCACTCCAGCAGATCCATGTCCTATATTGTGAGCTCTGGGGCTGGAGGCAGCTCTGCAGGTGGGGTCTCACCTGAGCAGGGCAGAGGGGCAGAATCCCCCCTTCCCCTGTTGCTCATGGTGCTTTGCATGCAGCCCAGGACAATTTTGGCTTTCTGGGCTGTCAGTGCACATGGCCAGCTCATATCCAGCCTCTCATCCACCAACACCCCTGAGTCCTTCTCCTCAGGGCTGCTCTCAATCCCCCAGCCTGTGCTTGTGCTTGGAATTGCCCCGACCCATGTGCAGGACCTTGCACTTGGCCTTGAGAACTTCTGTGCTCTTGCACACAGGCATAGCTATAAACAGTGTGCTGGCAATAAATCTTGCATTCAGGTGGCCAGGGGATGGTGGGGCCACGTGTAAATTGAGTTCACACAACCCAGAGCCAATTGTGGATAAGCTGTTCAGCATTGATGTAATGCAATTACTTAAACACTGCTGTAGGGGACAGTTCATCTGAGAGCCTGGTGCTAATGACAGATGTGACTAAAATCCATGCACGTTATCAGCTGCCTTTTGTCAGTGACTTAAAGCCAGTGACATCAAACTGAGCTGGCAGCTTGCAGGACGTCAGCCAGCTCCAGCAGTTTCAACACCTTGGTAAAATTACATCAGCACCTTACGATGGTGTGTGCTACGCCTGTGATCCTGGCTGAGGCAAGCAGCCTGATTTCTCCCCTTCTTCTCCAGAAATAATGGTGATAGTTTTGAAATTGTCGTTGGAGATGTGTGTGCCGGTGGTTGGGAGGATGTGATGCACTGATTTGATTACAGCTAAAGGATTTTTTTGATCTTGTACAAACAAAATGTTACGCAGCTAGTGTAGAAATGACTAAATCTGGAAGCTGTTGACATAAATATAATGCTGAATAATGAAGATTCCTTACATTTCTCTGAGTGCTTTGTAGACAGGGCTTTTAGAAAACGTCCCTAATGATATTGGAGACAAGAGAATGATTTCTCTGGTATTTTTTTTTAAATCCTCTTAGGAAGCATGATTATCCTCAATAAGTAGTATTCTCAAAACCACATGTAATCCTCAGGGAGTGTATTTTAAGGCATATGTATTTATTTAACTCAGAACATCTCAGAATACATTCAAAACAATGGCAATCTGAGGTTAAATGTGTATTAAGTCATCTTCTGGTGCAGGATCATTTCCTTCCTTTCCTGGATGCCCGTGTGCCTAATCTGTTCTTCATTTGAGTGACTCAAGCTGTTGAGCTTCCCTGGCTGCTGCTGGGGATTCTTCCTAGAACCTCTCTCCTCTTACTGGAAAACATTCTTGTTTGTCAAGCTGGAAATAATTTCCTGATCTCCTACAGATCCTCATTTTCTTGGCTCCCCTGCTAAGGCATCTCCCCTGATCGATTCTGTAATTTCTACAGCCTTTAAACACTTGCAGATAATACTAATATTGATTCCTGTAACAGTATTAATAACAAAGCTCTTTTCATCTTATATATATGAAGTTTCCCAGCAGTACTGCAAGCCATTAAAAGTATTAGTGGCTTTATTTCATGGAGGAATAATGTCACACAGAGGAAGATTGTAAATGAACTACATAGATTTCACTCCCAAAGCTTCTTTCTTCTTACCTATTTGGGCTGTAGTTTGTGGCTGCTATTTCCAATGATTAAATGTAGAATAATGCTAAGGACAGAAAAAGGGGGAGGTGATTTGTGCAGAGTTTGAACATTGTATCAGGCAAAAAAATAGGCATTAAGAAATACCCAGTGTGGAAGTAATGGTGGCAAAAATGGAAGGCAAGGGAAGACAAATTCAAGGCTTTTAGTCATATTTTGATTAGGTCAGAATAAGTCTGAAAACCAAAACTTGTACCTAGGTTTTCACAGAAGGATTCACCGAAGTGTTGCTGGCCAGGAAATTGGACATAAAGTCCTGCTGCCTGTGAGGCTGAGCTGCAGCAGTTCCCCAAGAGTTTTGAGTGCTCATCACTCAGAAAGTTGCACCTGCAGGTACTGCTGGAGGTGATGAAGGAAAGAGACTCCTTAGGGCCTTCAGTCTGGGTGTCAGCAATTGAGTGGCTGTGCCCTGGGTCTGCAGCACTAATCACAGGGCCTTTATTCATCTGACAGGTTTAAAATTGTCCAGCATGCCCAACAGCCAGGATTGGCTGTTCTCATTGCAATTCTCATTGCACAGAAAAGGAGAAAATGCACATTATTTTTTGGGTGTGGACAATACCTGTGTCCTCAGATTATGCCCCACTCTGCTGGTTTTCCAGGAGAAAGTTGAACTTTCTTAAGAGGTTAACACTTGATAATTTCCATTTTTGATGGTAAGTGGGGGAAGAGAGAGAGAGTGCCTGGCTTTTGGGTGTAGATCAGATGCCACAATCTTAATATTGTTCTTTAGCTTTGCGCTGTTGGGAGTTACTTAAAAATCCCCATCTCAGCAGTGAGTTTCATGCTGAAATCCAGAGTCTTCTTCAGTGTCCATCACATCTTGTTCTCTGCCCCCCTGGGTGCTTTCATGCCTTATGCTTTAATGAATAATT